CTGGCATGTGCTAGGGTTTCAGCAGTCTAGTGCTTGTTTCTTTTCGCTTCTAATATGTCTTAAAAATTAATTAAGCGCCCGCTGGCTGCAGCAGCAGAACATAAGGCAGAGAGCTCCACACAGACACAGCAGGAAGTAGGAAGAGAGAGAGAGCCAGGCAGGCAGGAGATTAGCTGCCGGAAGTGGGCAAAAGGCAGAACCTAACAGAACAGAACAGAACAGGGGCAGAGTCCAACTAAGTCGCTTCCCACTGAAGGCAAGTTATTCTAGCCTGAACCAACACAAAAAAAAAAAGAGTTAGTTAGATTTTCCATTTGCAAATTTCCATATTTTCTTGCCCGGCTTCAGACCGCATTTGCATAATTCCTGCGTTTCTTTTGTGCAGCCCCATACCTATACCCATTCCATTCTGCAAAGCAATTAAAATATTTTCACTAATTTCATTTTGGTAGGGGGGAGGGTGGTATATTATCATGCAAATTATTACAATTTATACGCATTAAATGCAACAGCAAATAGCAAAATTCTTTGCCTTCTTACTGCACAGCAGCCCCTCTATTTTACATAATCACCCCCAGCCCTCCGCCCCCTCCACCTACCTATATATATATATACGTATCTTTCTGCCGCTTTTATCCTACATTGTTTGCCACTCTTCGAACAGGAGGGGGGGTTCGCATTCTGTAAATGCAAATAGAAGTGCAAACTTTTCACATCTAAAAACAGCAACAAACAAATTGAGGATTTCAATTTGCAGCACATCGAAGGATAAATGCGCTTTCCTTGCAGCCAACACAAATGTTACACTATGCAAATATTTAAATTTGACAGGTGACAGCAGGCCAATACCAAGCGCTGGTATTTATTTTCTGTGTGTGTACACACTGCTAGACATTGTGAGTGTACAAACAACAATATCTAAGGCATAGGAATAAAGAATATGTTGCACTGGCTGTGAGATATTCAAGCGCTCAAATCTCTGCTCCTATTTAAAACAAAAAAACAATTAAAACATAAAACATTCGGTTGCTAAATTTGTTTTCCAAAATTTCTAATAGTGCAAAAAGTATTTCTTTTTTGCAACATGAAAAAATAAAACACGCACTGCACTTTTATATTTAAATGTCATTTTGTTGTGGTTGAGCCAGCAATTTTACACAAAACCATAAAATGCTGTAGAGCTGTTTTTGGGAACTTTGGGAACATTCCTTAAACTTAATTACTTACAAATGGCTCTCTTTGTGAGCGCATAAGAGATTAGAAAATGTGCAGCCTGCAACTAGAGTTTCGTTTCGTTTACCTGACAAACATTATAACAAAGTTCTAATACCCCCCCCCCACAGACAAAGTTTGAAGCCGAAATGAAACGAGTCTGTTCTGGCTGTTAGAGGCATGAAATGAGCCTGGCAAAACTTATGTCTGCGGTCCCAGGACCACGACCACGACCAGCAGCAGCAGCAGCAGCAGCAGGAGTCCTGCCTTTCCTCTGTCTCTCTCATTTTGCATGCGAGAAATGTGGCACTGCTTGCAAATGAGATTGCTTCTGTTGTTGCACGCTTAATGCCATTGTTGCACGTATCCTGCGCATCCTGGCTGCACGTACTCATTGTTTACATTGGGAATGTTTTCGTTTTGCTTGTCACCGTCTGCTCCCACGCACAGCACGCACACACACACACACACACACACACACACACACACTGTACAGCACACAGAGGACACACAGGATGCTGCCCGGGCTCTGGTATTCCCTTGGATAGACCAGTGCAAGGTCTGACTTCAATACGCACTCATGCAGATATAATTTTTGCACACGCACATCCATCCCCTCCTTGCCGTATTCCCCTGCTCCGCATGTTCCCAATGCGATGTCATCAGCAGAACTCTAAATAACTTTTAAATGAAGCACAGAAAGATGCAGGCAGGCAGGCAGACGGGGCATCATGACCGCCAAACAACTGGACACAGAAGCGAAAGGCAAGGGTTCCCAAGGGAATCGTCTCCCTCTAGCCGGCCCCTTTTTTCTGACCAGCGCTTTGCAGTCTGGTTTCAGGCCCCACTGCAAAATGTGCCATTGTTTTAAACTATATTCACATACATATGTAAATATGTATGTATGTATGTTTGCATTTGGCAAACTTTTTCATGTTTTTTTCATGTCCATGAACATTGTAAAATTTTGCTGCGTGATTTTTTGTATGCCCCTTTCTTTTTTTTTTCTTTTTTGTGTGTGTGGTTGCGGTGGCCAAAGTGTGAATGTGTGAATAAGTGAGCGAGGCTGTTGTGTGTGTGTGTGTTAATGAAAAGTTCCCTCAACTTCCACATGGCTAATGAAATATTTAAATGTAATTTTAGCGCGTTAATCAAAAGTACGTTAATTAACTGTGGCAAAAATGTTTTAATTGGGGCATATAAAATGCATGGGCATAGCAAGTCGTCCCCAAAGAGATATGCTTGAACAAAATCCAATATTGTGCCTGCTCTAAGAGCAAGTCGTTGTTAGTCGTTGGCGGCACAAATGCTGGGCGAGTGGAATTGAAATAAATGTAGCCTACTTTTGTGGGTCAGTGCAGGGCATAAATCAACGTTTTCGGTGGCCGTTTTTCAGGGCAATTGAATTACAAGTGCCACTGCTGCAACCTGCAAAATGCAGTGCCAGATAGCCGACCCAAACGACCGACCGACCGACCGACCGACCAACCGACCAACCGACCACTTGCAAGACGACAAAAAGCGGAAAAGGCAAAACGGAAACAGGAAACGCCTGCCATGTGGAGTGGTGGTGTGGGAACGGGTATGGGTATGGGGGATGGGAGAGTTTCATAAATCCCGATGGCTGGCAAGCAATCCCCTCTTTGTGCTCTTGTGAAATATATGCTTGCCAGAATCCAGATGCTGCTGCTGCTGCTGCTTCAGACAACACGATACATGCGTTTGCGTTTGGGTTTTGGGTACGGCTGCGGGTGTGCGGGTGTGCGAGTGCCGGTGTGGATGTGGGTGACAGAGAGAAATACATACTTCACTCTTGTTATATCTTCCATGGGTTGATTCTTTTCTTACGCTCCGCTTAAGCCGCAGCCAACAAAAAGAAAACAATTTAAATGATAAGTCATAACGCTATTTATTTGCTCTCTTCGCTTCGCCTCTGCTGCTGCTGCTTCTGGTTCATGGTTGGGCACCTATGTATAAGGATGTGTGCACTCATGCCAGCAAGAGATTGCATGAAGAAAACACTTGCACAAATAAATACATTAAATTGTCAAGCAATTAGTAATCTCTGTGTGTGTGTGTGTGTGTGTGTGTTTGTGTGCCTGATGGGATAATATAATGTCATTAATTTAAGCTTAATTTAATTACACAGAGAGTTATGAGTCAGTCAGTCAGATGGATTAACGTGCAGCAGCGCAACAAATGTATATTAATTCTGATTTGTGGCACAACTGGGACGAGCACAGCCGAATCGAATCAAATCGTATCGAGTCCTTCTGCTGCAATGGCCCCATTCATTCAATGTTCGAAATGTTTTTAATTGAATGCCCAAACCCATGCGGAAGAGCAAGAGCCAAAACCCAACAAGAGTCAGCATCAGCTTTAAATCTGTTTTCGATTCCCCTTTAGACGGGGATTCACACACACATGTACACAGGAGTATGGATACGGGCACAAGAACAACGACAACAAATGTTGCCCTTGGGGAGCTGTCAATAGGATTGGAGAGCGAGCCCCTGCTCAAAATGTCGGCCTCAATTTTAACAAAATTAGAACTGCAAAAGGATTACCATTACGATTTGCCCAATAAAATGTGCCAAATAAAAATTGACAAAAGGGAATTGCAAAGGGCAAACAAGACCTAAAAGCCTCCCATACCCTCTCCTCCGCACCCCTAAAGCGACATTATTCATTTGGTAAACGATGGCCCACAGGAGGCAATCGCCTGCGGGCAGCCGTCACCATTCTGTGCAATTTGAATGGAGGGTTTCAATATGAAAAATCAGCAAAGTTTTTAAACTTTCAGCAAGGGATAGGGGAACGGGAAGTTAGTGCCGCATGCAATGCTTAAAATTCGGTCATCACGTGCTCAATAATATGACCCAAAAAAAAAAAACAAATCCCAAAAAGGAATTCTATTTCTACTGCATTTTTCCAAGCATTTTTCGAAATACTTAACTGTTTAGGCCGTATCGTCACACTGCAATTAACTGCATGGCGTATTATAAGTCGCGTGTCGCAAAGCACGAGAAATGCGAAATTGCAGCTGAATAGTTGGGGATATTAAAGCGCCGCACCACGCACAGCTTTCACGGACAGTTGCAGTTGCACTAATGTTTATGCCCCAAGACACAGGACTATTTTCATTTGGCGGCAAGCAAAAGTTCTTGCGCACTAGATTGATTTCAAACTCCATCGAATTCCCGCTTTCGAACTTTTTTTCTTAATCTGGCAGCAGTATTACCAATAACGGTTATAACAACTGCACGTACCCGATAGAAATATCGATATATAGTTCAGAGAACTTTTGAAAATTATAAGATTTTATTACCACGATTAATATCGATTTTTTCGATCGATTTTCAATAGAGAAACGTTGCTGCAAGTAATAAAATTGAATTATAATCAGATAGTAAGGGGTCATTCATTTTAAACGATTAATTTCTTGAAGAAACTTACAAAATAACACTTAAACCATCTCTTTTGAGACCAACAAAACAGCTGTTAAGTGAAACAAAGTGGAAACAAAAGCAATACAATCCGTGAAACATTATTATGTAAACAATCCAATAAAAAGATGTTCTGAAAACTAGCCAATCTTTTACAAAATGTATCGAGGAATTAAACAAAATTATTTTCTTAGGGCTGAGAGGCCATCTAGCTAGTAATTTTAAACCGAATATCAAAATCGAAGAATATATCGAGGCTGTCAGTATATTTACGGTAATTTAATGGCAAAGCGAAGGTATATTTGGGTATACTTTTGAGGTTCATACGGTATATTTTTTCGATAAAACCGCGGTCACACTGCTCTACAACTTGTAGCAAAAAAAAAAATATTTATACGAATTTTGATTTTAATTAACGAATTCGTAAAAACGAATTAATAAAACGAATTAAATCTTGTAGTCGAAGTGAAAATGTGAACGCTGTGTTTGCTTTTGAAATGAAATCCATTTAAAATGCATTTCAACAAATCAACTCGCTGTGAAAATTTCGTACAGGCAAAAAAGAGCCGATTTTTAGTGGAAGAAGAAGCAGCAGCAGCCGAACGGGCAGTAAAAGCAATCGTCGAATACACGGACAAAGCGCAAGGCGAATGAAACTCGTGTGAAGAGAAAACTTGCAAAAATTACAGCAACAACAACAGCAGCAGGCGAAAAAGTGTGTTTAGAAAAGAAATTAAAAACACTCACATATACATACCCACATATAAAACACACGAATACAAGTACACAACGAAGAGAATTGGTGCAAAAAGCAACAAAAAAACGAAGTAAAATAGCGCGCGGTTTAATAATAAATAATTATATGTATGCGCGCAAAACAAATGAAGAGCCGGGGAGCCGCAAAGACAAATACGAATACGAAAAATCAATGAGATTGTAATAAAATTCCGTATTTTTGCTCCTCCTCCTCTCTCTCTCTCTCTCTCCCCCGACTCACTCTCTCGTTGTCGTTGTCGTCGTTCTCGCTCTCTTGTCCGCACGAGCCAACAGCAGCAGCCTCTCAGTTTGTGTGTCTGTTTGTGTTTCTTGTTGATTTTGTGATAAAATTGCAATCAACAACATACACGATACAACAATAGTTAATGTATTTAAACAAAAGTATTAAAACAAGAGAGTAACTAAAGGTGCGTATGCAACAATAACAAACAACCATCTGTGAGTTTGTGACAGTGTGTGTGGCAAAAAGTAGAACGTGCGAGAGAAAACCCGCGTACCAAATTTGATGACGTCTCCAACATAGACACAACGGCAAACCGAATCGACAACAACAATGGTGAAATATCGGTAGTAATGTAGTTTTTGTCCTACTACTGTTTAGGGGGGAACAGGGAGAGAGGTAGCGGCAGGGCAACTACAGCGACGTCAGCAGCAGAGGTGAAGCAAGCAAGCATCAGCAGTTGTAGAAGAAAAGAGAGAGATGGACCGGTATTTTGTAGCCAGTGCAAGCCAGAACGAACCTCTGCTCTGCCAGCAGTTGGTGGATTTTTAGAGCCCTCGGAACTCACTCTCGAGGTTGATTAACAGCCCGAAAAGGGGAACAGTCAGACATCACATCACAAAAAAGTGTAGCCACTTTGCATGAAGAGGCTAGAGTGAAAAAGGTGTACTTGGCTTGCGTTCCCAGTTTGCTCTTGGATAGTTCTCTGGGTATGGTGTGGGTAAACCTTATTTGGTTTCATAATAGATTTCTGATAACATCTGGCCAATGATAACAGCTGACAGTCTCCCTATAAACATCATAAACTATATTCGAGTGGGCTACAGTGGGGGCCAAGTACATTGCTGTAACCTGCCGCTATCATTCTCACGTGCGAGATTCACTTCATGCTTATTTAATGACTATATTTAAGAGGGTTCTGTAGAACCTCCATTAGATATTCGATATTCATGGCCCTGGGCCTAGTAACGGATGCACCTGCCATGTAAAGCCAATTGGCCTTATCGCCACGCGCCCTGGCTCTCTCTCTCTCTCTTTCTGTGCTGTTGTCACCCATTCACTCACTCACAGTGGTGTGTTAATAAAATGGGAGCTCCCTAGACGAATTTTGATTTGAATAGCCATTTGACAGCGGGAGCCACATACAGTAGACAGACAGATTACGTTGCCTGCTGCTGGCCTGGCCTGGCCTTTTGCTACCTACCAAAACGACCAAACGGAGCAGCCAAGAGCATCATTCACTCACTCACTCACCTGGCGGAACAGCGACGCACAAAAGTCTATGCAAAAAGTTCGCGTACATCTTTAATGATTCTATCAAGTTTATTCAAATCGAGTGTGTTTTATGTTGTAATTTGAACAGTGTTTACTTTGACATACAAAAATGCAATTGATCATATTAACTAATATTTCAACAATAGATAAACTAAAGTGCACCTTAACTATTCGCAGTCAGTGTAGCACTTGTGCCGTTTTGTCGACAATGCGCGCGCTCCCTCTCTCGAACTCACGCAAGTACACACACACACACACAGCCACGCACATGAATACATATATACGAGTTTGCAACACACACACATACATACAATGTCGCTCATTTTGCCCTCTCTCACTCACGCTCTCTCTCTCTCTTTGCTTTTTTTCTGTTTTAGTGGTTGTGCAAGAAGAAGCAGCAACAATCAGGCAAAAAAATACCTGAAAAAAAAATAAACGGTAAAACGAAGAAGTGGCGACACACAGCGCAGAGCGCGCTAAAAGTTTATTGTAAAAAAATCGCAAAAAGTTAAAAAGCACAAAGTGTGTTTTATTTTTCATTTGCAAAGAAATACAATAACAACAATTATATTAAAAATGGTGGAAGTAATAGAGCGGCAGAGAACGGCTGCGTGAGCTCAAAGCGCGGCCAATTAAAAAACAACAACAACAGCAGCAGAGCAGCCGCTGAAGCCAGAAGCAGAGCAACAGCCAAGAGCCAGCCTCGAAAAAGTACATAAAAATATATAAATTTAAATAAAGAGTGGAAGTTGGTAGAAAAAAAAAGCAAACCACCAGCAAAAGAGCGAAACGAAAGCAAAGTAGAAGCAAGCGCAAAGAAAAGCAAAGAAAACCACCTTACCAGCCAGCAGCAGCAGCGCGCAGCAACTAGAAACATCACATAAACATAAACCAACAAAAACCAAGAGACCAACAAAATGTACGGAAAATCAAAGACATCAGCGGTCCCCTCAGATGCCCAGGCACGGGAGAAGTTGGCCCTCTACGTCTACGAATATCTGCTGCACGTGGGCGCCCAGAAGGCGGCACAAACATTCCTCTCCGAGATCCGATGGGAGAAGAACATAACGCTCGGCGAGCCGCCAGGATTCCTGCACACCTGGTGGTGCGTCTTCTGGGATCTGTACTGTGCGGCGCCCGAGCGTCGGGATCAGTGCGATCACAGTTCGGAGGCCAAGGCCTTCCATGATTACGGCTTCGTCAGCTCCGGCTATGGCGTGAATGGCATTGGTCCCGGCGGACCACACAACGCTGGCGGTCCGGCGCCGAGCCCTCTGGGACAGATGCCACCCGGCGGTGATGGCGGCCCAATGGGACCCGGCGGACCTATGGGTCCAAACTTTTTCCCAAATTCAACAATGCGGCCGTCGCCGCCAACGCATGCATCCAGTCCACAGCCGCCGCCGTCACAGATGATGCCGGGCCAGCCGCCGTTCATGGGCGGACCCCGATACCCTGGTGGCCCGCGACCTGGCGTGCGTATGCAGGGAATGGGTAACGAATTCAACGGCCCGCCCGGACAACCCATGATGCCGAATAGTATGGATCCGACAAGACCTGGTGGCGGCATGGGTCCCATGAATCCACGCATGAATCCGCCTCGTGGACCTGGTGGTATGGGCCCCATGGGCTATGGCGGGCCGGGCGGAATGCGTGGCCCAGCACCCGGACCTGGAGGAATGCCGCCAATGGGCATGGGCGGAGCGGGCGGAAGACCGCCGCAATGGCAGCCCAATGCGTCGGCGCCTCTAAATGCGTATTCATCATCATCACCAGGAAATTACGGACCCGGCCCCGGCTCGAATGGTCCACCCGGACCAGGAACGCCCATAATGCCCTCGCCGCAGGATAACACGCAAGGTGGTCCGGTTGGCGGACCAGGCGACAGTATGTATGCACTTATGAAGCCAGAATTCCCCATGGGCGGTGGCCCTGATGGCGGGGGCGGCGGTGGCGGGCCCGGCGGCATGGGTCCAATGGGCGGTGGCCCGAACTCGATGGGTCCTGTACTTAATGGCGGCGGTGGCCCAGACGGCACCGGTCTGGATGGCATGAAAAACTCACCAGCCAACGGGGGACCGGGAACGCCACGCGAGGACTCTGGCAGCGGCATGGGTGACTATAATCTCGGCGGGTTTGGCGGCCCCGGCGAGAACGATCAAACCGAATCGGCGGCCATACTGAAGATCAAGGAGAGCATGCACGAGGAGGCCAAGCGGTTCGAGAAAGACTCAGATCATCCGGACTACTTCATGCCATAACAACATCATCAACATCATCAGCAGCAGCAGCAGCAACTTCACCAGCAGCAGCAGCAGCAGCAACAACAACAGCATCTCAATACGGTAGCAGCCGCTGTGGCAGCTGTTGTGGCAGCAGCTGCATCCAATGGCACGGCGGGCAGCTCCTCAGCGGCATCCATAGCCGCGGCAGCCCTTGGTGCGGCAGCCTCCAATCTGCTCAGCAATGGCAACAACAATTTCTGAAAACAAAAACCACAACAACAACAACAAAAACCAAGCATAAAACAAAAGCGGTAGTAAAAATCCTTGATACATAAGCATAAAGTAATTAAAATTAATACATGTATGAGAAATAGAGAAACCCTTAAATATAATAGACTAAAAAAGCAAAACAACAATTTGTAAAATGTAAAACTGTATAACGATAAAAAAAAAAGGATCAAACAGACGGACGAACGGGCGGACAGAAATCTGTTCCCAGTTGCTGTTTCCTGTACACCCACACTGCACTGTAATTTCTACTTGTATTACACGCTGTTGATTTTAGATAAGTTCGTTTTGTTGTTGTATTGTATTTTTAATCTTATTTGTCGTAAATTCAACTTGAAAATGTCCCCAAAAAGGCAGGACAGCAAGCAGTGCAGTGGGGTTAGGTTAGGGCAGAACGACGTGAGCAGCAGAGCAGAATGGAAGAAGTCCGCAAGGGGAAGGAGAAAACCAACCAAGAGTAATCATAAAAGAGAAACAAAAGCAAATATACTTAAAGTAATGTTTAAATATGCAACAAGTCTAGCAAGTCTTCTGTTTAGTTCAGGCAACACACACACAAACTTACCTTTCTACTCCACACCCCCGAAACACCCACTCAGAACTGTCGCTGACTATCCCTATCCCCTCCACTATTTATACCAATTTACTTGCTTACTAAACTAAAAACCCATTAATGATACCATAGCATTATATAGAGATTTATATATATATATATATATGTGTGTTTTTGTATGTATATATATATATATATATGTGTGTTTTTGTATGTATATATATATATATATATATATAGAGCAGTGACTACCATGTATGTACATTTATTAGTTTGTGTGATTTATGTTTTTGCATATACATATATACCAATAATATATATATATATATAATTGTAGAAAGAAATCATAAACGCAAATTAAATATTTTGTTAAGCCATGGCGCAACAGAAGATCGCTTAAGGCATAAAATGGATGAATGAAATATTTATAACGATATATATATACATAAATACACACATAGTTGAGTATATATAGCTAGCATTATTGGACATGTATATGTATAGATTGTAACCAACCAACCACACACACACACACACAAGTTCTTATAAAACGCTTCTCCGATTGATTTTGCACAATGAGCTACGAGCACAGTGTCTAGATCGTTTCTTTGCGGCTCGTTCGGCCCCGTTCTTGTCCCAAATAATATTATCTTTTTAATTCTCATTGTACAAATTGTAAACTTGGCACTTTGCTGTCCGCCGTCTATGTATTGTATTGCTTTTATTCTGTATTTCTGTCTCGCGTCTGTCTATCTGTTTGTTTGTTTGTTTGTTCGTTTGCTTTACGTTTTGTTGTATTATTTTTTTTAGTGTTTGTTCTTTCTCTCATGTGTATGTGTATGTGTATTTATATTTTAACCAAACAACTTAAACGAAAACTGTTATTTAAGTTCCTTTTAACAGCGAGCAATACCATATATATATATATATTTATTATATGTATATGCGACTTCCCCCTCAGTTTTTGGAGATCGGCAACAGCTTGCACTTGTTTCGATTTCCTCACGGCATTGTGTGCATTAGGACAGCATAAGAAACTTATATAGAAATCTTTATATACCAGGAGATATATATGTAGGTATATATATACATATAGACCAGAAAAGGATACAGATTGTAGCCTATTGTATGCACTAATTTATTGCAGAATAGCTACGCGCATAACTATAAGATTTAGCTGTTTAATATGCATATGCAAATATATATTATATATATATATATTTCTTAAAAGGCAGCAAAGGCAACCACAAATGTAGAAACCTAAAAAATCTTAGACCTTAACCTAATGCAAAAACGTTTAATTCAAAAATATCACACTAAAAAAAAAAAAAAAAATGAATGCTGTACAAAACAAACAATTTATAAAGTACATAGAATATATATATATATATACACACATTGTATATGTCTGTGCTTGCATCTATATGTATATCCCCGATACAGCACATTTCGCATTCATAATGATGATGATTGATGAAGGGCAGCAGTAGAAGGGAGAATCCACCCGTATAATAGCATTAGATTCGAAGATAATTTATAAGCCCCAAATCAAAAGGAATATAGATAAAGAAAATAATTACATTTCTTTATAATACAACAAACACCACACACACGAAACACACGCAAATCAATTGCTAAATTAATTTAAAGAAACAAAACAAAAAAAATATAACAAAACAAAACATGAAAAAAATCTATTTTAAATATTGTATATGTTTAATGTGTCGGAATTTAAAATATATACGAGAGAAAAATTGATAGTATGTGCGCTGCATGATATAAATCGAAATCGATGTGGCATGCCGCGCCGCATCCATGATGCGTCAAGCGAGAAAAACTTAAATAGTAATTAAGTTAAATTTATTTACTAACGCTTATGGTTAAAGCGTTTCAATTGCTGGATCTATATTAAATGAATAAAAATAAAACAAGCAAAAATATAAGTATAATGGAGCGGAATTATAAGTAAAACAAAAGTATAAATGCCCCCTTCCTCTCCCCCCCAAAACAACAAATGAGAAAAACAAAAAAATGGCAAAAACGTAACCCAGAAAAAAAAAATCGAAAAAAATGAAATGAATACAAAACAAAACCGATTGAATATGGAAATATGTTTAAATAAGTATTTTAGTGTTAATTATACAATTTACAAGTACACAACACAAACAAAAAAAAAAAACAACAACAACAATATAATATAAAAATGAAATAAAGTTTTAAAACAATATTTGTAAAAAGTAAAAAAAAAAATATCTAATGTTTTTAATTTGTTTAAATTGGCGTTTATTTGGGAAACGAATCAGATGTAGGTATAAGATTTGTCTACATGTTTTATAAGTATCCATGTCCTGTCTGTCTGCATGTTCTTTAGCATAAGGAAAATTCATGTTGTGCCTGTTGTTGAAGTTAAAATCTGTTTATCCATTCCCTTGGACTCTGGAAAGTTATTTATAGGTTTTTGTAGATCCCAAACCACATTAGGCGGGGTAGATCCCAAACCACATTAGGCGGCGTAGATCCCAAACCACATCAGGCGGGGTCGATGGAAAAAGATGGAAAAGATTTCTTGTTTTTGTCATAATTGAACAATTTGGCAGCAAAGTGCGTGCGGCATGTAATCTGGCTCGTGTGTCTGGGCTAACCACAGTCAGACAATTGGCCCGGCACACGAACATGGCTAATGAATGGACAGTTGCACTGCAGTGTGGACAGTACATTGTGGATGTTGATGGCATTGGGTTGTCCGGGGCAACCGGCTCGCTCGATGGCGGCCAATACAAATTGAGCAGTTAATTACACACTCAACGGACAGTGGTCAGTGCTGATAGAAGCGCTGAGGCAAATGCTGCACAAAAAATCGATAAAGCTGCGGCCCAGGCGACAAGGAAAAATGCATGTCCATCATATACCACTTGAGTGCCGCTGAAGTAATCAAGAAATCAAGCCTGGCATTTACTCTCATTAATGCAACAAAGTGGCGTCCTGTTTCCACTCTTGCATGGGACTGGTGCGCACTGCAGTTGGCGCTGCTGGGGACAGACAGCCGCCAGAGGAGACTACAGCCTCGGTGAACCATTGTCCGACCTATCGACAGATTGCTGGTGCCACAACTGGAGCCGGTTCGGCGCCGGCCAAGCGTGTTCCCATACTGTTCTCAACCAATCGCGGACTTTATTTGCGTCTTTCGCAATCTGTTGTCGATCAGGTGGAGGTGCTGACACTGCAACCACGGGGCCAGAACTACAACATCAGTTTCTGTGATCTGGAACGTTGGGTGAGCAAGCAGCAAGCAAAGTTTCTTCACGGCCAGCGAGAGTTTACCGATTATTCTTTTTGTGCTTGCAGAGCACTAATCGGGCTAATGTTGTGAGTCTGGAGGATACGTTCACCATCATGCATCAGAGGAATATGTCACCGGAGGTGCATTTGTATCAGCCGCGGCTATGGAACAATCACGTCAGCTACAGCTTGATGCATTGAGCCGAGCCCTCTGAAGCACCTCTGCGGATAATTTAAATCAAATTTCTAACTAGTAGATCGATGGATAATCAATTTATATGTAGGCCTTAATTATAATTCTTTTACTTTTAATATTCCTTAAACAGAGAACTAAATCGAGTTTCGAACAATATTTGTTAGGGCCGGGCCGCCCCTTAGGCCGTATTGCTGGTGAGTGAAGCCATCAGAAATTCCATTTTGTTCAGAAAACTCTTGCCCTCGATTTTATCAAACTTCACCTGGAAAAGAATCGAATAATATGCGTTAGCGGATAGTCATTAGAGCATTAATAACACACAGCTAGAACACCTACCTCTTTGAAATTGCCACCCAGATTCTCCCACAACTTCTCCGGCACCAAGGGACTGGGAAAGAAGTCCTGCCGCGGACTTCTCGCAATGTAAACCTTGACATCAATTTGTGGATCGCAGCGTATTTGAACAGCTATCATGCGATCACCATTTGGCGAGGCCAGCAGACAAGAACTGGCATTGCCCAGAGGCTCCACCTTGCCAATGCCCAGATGATTGCTGTTCGAGAGCACCGTCCAGGCCATGCAGCGGGCCAGGCTCACCAGGCAGGAGATTTGATGCGAGTTGATTTGGCAGAGTATTAGGTCACGCAACTCCTGGGGCTCATACGACAAGCGCATGACGCGTCCGTCACGACAGATGCACTTCAGGGAGCGCTCCTTGACATGGATGACCAGTGAAGTTCGTCCAATGGCATCGTAGCCGTGGGTAACAATGTTAATCTTCACACAGGACATGGTCGGACTATTCATGGCATTCCAGTGGGACACAATCTGTGGATCCTTCACATCCCTCGCCAGGGTATCCAGCACATATTGGGTGCGCTTGCGCATGAATATATGCTGCGCCTGGGCAATGATCTGCTCCAATATGGTCTGCGATTTGGTCATGTCCAGGAGCGTTTCACGATCAGCCGCCATGGGACCGGCCAGCATGCGTTTCTTCGTTGGCCCCAGTGGAGCACTCGCCGGATGGGGGAACGGATGGTGCGAGTTCTTGTAGTGAACCTCCCGCAGCAGCTGGTGAAGGGAATGCTCCAGCACATGATCGTGATCGTTGATCGGAGCCGGTTGATTCGAGTCAAAGGTGGTGGAGTGGCACAGCGAGATAATTAGTTGAATATTGGGCAACAGGGTGGCTCGAATCTGATTCCCAATAACCACATGCGGAATGGGGGCCTGCAGCTGAATGGCCTCGCGTGCAAGCTGTGCGAAGAGCTCCTTGCAAAAGAGAACATTCTGGGCAAACTCCAGCGTCTTCTGCCATACGCCCACCTGAGCGGTTATGTTTGGACCATGGCCCATTAGATTAACTTGAGCTGTGCACAGATCCTCTTGGTCTTTCTGTGTGATCACCTTAATGTAGGCCACACCTTGCAGCTCAGCCGGAACAATCACCCTCAGAGCGGAGCTGGCCTTCATCTGCATGCCATTGTTGGTGGCTGTGCTGCTGCTGGTAGTCGAGGTGCTGGCACTGTCGTCGTCGGATGCCTCCTCCGCTTTGGTCACCTCGAAGGTGCCGCTCATTCCGAACTTGGATCCGGCTGTGCGGTAACTGAGATCTCCTATGATTGCATTGGATACCTTCTTCAAGCGCCAGTTCTGACGTAGACGCAACAGTTCTATGTGAAAGTCGGACACGTTCCGACTGCGCTGTTCGCTGTGAGCATTGCGAAGGCGCTCGGCGCCGCTCAGCAAAATCTGGGCCGCCTGTGAGATGGCCTTCTTGCGACTATAAACCTGCACAATGGGCTTTGTATCGTCGCCCTCCTCCAGCAGTGGGTCTAGCACCAAATATCGCTTATCCTTGGCTATGGATATCACATCGGATAGCACACAGATTTCGGTGAGTGCATCTTTCAGCTTATTCCGCACCGCGTCCCAGGGCCAAAGACTCTCCTGGAACTGAGTGCCATCTTTGTTCTCCTCCTCAGCCGCTGCGGCCGTCTTCTCCTCCTTCTTCAGATCGTCCAGCGATGTTTTGCTAAAGTCTATGCGGGCCGCACACTTGGCCAGGCTCTCGGATAGAGTCGGCGGTCTGAAAAGTTGACCAACAACTTGTTGAGAAAAGCCAGTTACACTCAAACTGTGCACTTACGGTTGGTATAACTCGGTGCCATCATATCCAATTTCCCGTATCTGGTTCTCGCAAGTGGTTTCCACCGATATATTCACAGTATTTGACATTTTTGTTGACGAATATGCCGGAAAACATTTGCAAAAAAATGCAAGCAAAGAGGTAGTGTTGTTAAACGTCGGCAATGGCTAATCGATTGAAATGAACATTGGTAGTCGATTTTATTAATATTAAATAAAAAGGGATAGGACACAGTCCAATTAATGCAATTAAATTATTCAGATTACGGCGAATATTATGTATAGTTTTTAACCACTCAATCTATTTATATTACAATAGTAAACACTCGTAGAGTTGTCATCAGTTGTATCGAGCCTTGTCTGGAACATTTCACAACACTAAAACATTACTTTCATTTTTTTGACTTCTCATTTTGGACTCCAACCGAAATAAATAATTGAATATTATGTTGTTTCTTAAGAATAAGCAAGAGACATTAGATGTGACTGATTACACAGTCATTATACCCAGCATTTGCGTGGGAAATGCGGCTCAGCTGGCGTGTGACCTGTTGATTGCCTCCAAGCAGCTGAAGCGCATTGGTTCCGTTTCACATCCAGCGCTCATACCGGTCTTCGGGCCCTCCGCCTACCAGCATGAGCCCAACGAGAAGGTGTCATCGTGTGAGCTGTACGAGGGTGTGGAGGACAAGCTGCTGGTCATACAGTTCAGGGCTCCATGGATCGCGCGCCACACACGCAGCTTCCAGCAGCAATTGGTGGAGCTTGTCAAGGGTGCGAAGCGGGTAATTATTCTCAGTGGCAGCTTTGGCTTTGAGAAACGGGTTATTGAGGCATCGCCGTGGGCCTATCGTGCCAGCGAGAATTTCAAGCTAGCCCACGCTGCCCAGCTGGGCGATCCCGATCTCATCAAGTGGAAGGAGCACACCGGAGAGGCCATCTATGGTGGCGGCAACGCCTTGCAGCTGTTCCAGGCCTTCGACGAGGCTCAAGTGCAAGTCATGCTGCTGTTCCGCTACCTCATCGAGGGCGACAATTCCACCGATGCCAGTCTGATCGTGCGAGAACTTAACGAGCTGTGCGAGGACTTCCTGCAGCTACGCGGCGGTGGCGATGGTAGCTTCAAGTTGACCGTGCCCAAATCCTGGAACCTGCTGTTTGGCAACGATGTAACAGAGTTTCTCTTCTAGTTGTTTATATTTTGGACAAATAAATGTTTAATCTTTCGGTGTAGGATAAAAGAGATTGCTAGCACGATGCTCCCTGAAGTATTCACTGCCGTGTTCCTGGTAGTCCTTGCGCGTGGTCAGCGACTGACCGAAGTTTGGCTGACTGGCCTGTGCACAGGCCCCCAGCCAGGCGCTCAGCGTGTGCTCATCCGATTCGTAAATGGAAAACTTCGACTGAAATGGACGCATTTCCTGAAACTCTCTGGCCAGACGCTCTTTGAGACCACGAAGCTGAGCACAACCGCCTGTGAGATACACATGATCCACCATGCGCTGCTGTTCCTGGGCGTTGAACAGTTTCAGCACAAAGGCTATCAACTCCGCCAGGCCCGCCTCCGAGGAGCCAATCATGCTCGGCTGAAAGAGAATCTCTGGCACACGGATATCCTCTACGCCGAAATGCAATTGATAGTTTTCGGCTGCGCTCTGGGTCTGCACTGCATTGCCATCATCAAAGTTCACATCGTAGTGGCTGAGAATTTTCTCGTACTCCAGCAACTGCTCATTGTCGGCATCCGAATCGCTGTCGTCGTTGTAGCGATTGATACGCTTGTACACATCCCAGTCGTTGTCGTTCATTCCAAAGCCATCGTCCTCCTCCTCGCCATTGGCCTTGCGGCGCTTCTCACTGCGCGCCAGCGTCGAGATGATGCGCATCCGCTCCTGTGCGGCGTGCGTGTGCCGTTTGCCCTGTTCCTGTCGCTGCTGCTGGCGTGTCTGTTTGCGCTGCAGTAGCTGCTCCCGCTTGTCCTGTAGTTCGGCCAACCAATCCGCCTGGGATACACCCGCGGGTGCTTTTGGCATTTTATCAAGTTTAAGCTGCTCCTTGCTGGGCTTGGGTGAGCTCAGGGGCCGCTCCTTGATGCGCTTGATGCGATTACTAATTGTGCTGATGAGCGAGTCCAATTCCTCCAGATTGCCAATCTGCTGCTGGGCCAGAGCCAGCTCGAACTTCTGCAGCTTATCCTGCTCATAAAGCTGTCGAAGTTTGTTGTACACAAACAATTGTTGCTCATCCTCGCGCAGCTTCTCGCCCTCCCTGCGATTCTTAATCGCTATCAAGCGCATCGCTAACTCACGACGCTTCTCCAGCTTCTGCTCGGCTGTGAGCAAAGCGTTGGTGGCCGTAACCGGATTGTAGGGCAGCTGTATCTTCATGATGTGCTCCTCGTAGTAGTCGATTTGGGCCCACTTCAGCAGCTCCTCCCTGTAGTCGACGGCAATGTGGCAGTGCTCGTGTACGAGCTTCTCCATTCGGCTGATAGAGATGGCATTCAGATGCACCGGATACTTCATTTGCATCAGACATAGCAAATATGTGATAATGTGATAGCCGCCGACATTCAGGCGACGCACATGCTGCATTTGGAGTTTGCCATTCAACACTGGAATCACATGGGTGGTACTGTAGCCAAAGGAGATGATGAGGGCATCCGACACCTGCAATGAGAACAGAAATCTTTGTCAATTAAATCAACCCTTTTTGACGATGGATGTGCGCTCAACCTTTTTGCGACGATGCTGATAGTGCTCCCAGCTGTAGAGGGCATCGATGCCGTACGAAACGGCTGGAATGCCATAGCATTCAAAGAGCAGTTCGCTCATGTTCTGGCGGCAGAAGTTGGGATTGGCCAGCGCCTCTGTCAGCACGATTGGATGGGCTATGCTCTGCTCACCCTCGAAGCCCATTTTGGTGAATATATAGTCAAAGATCTGCTCCTGATGGTTCCAATTCGTTATTATGTTCCGCTCGAATGGCGACTTTAGATGAGCCCGCACTGCTTCGATGTTGGTTATATCATTGCCCACTTGTATTTCGGCTGGGACTTCAGCTGCGACCGGTGTCGAGGCGCCTTCCGAGGCGCCCGGAGTGGTTTCCTTCTTTCTATCTTTGCGTGGTTTGGTCAAGACGTTTCTGAATCGCAGCGCCGGCTCCTTGGCGTTGTTCCAGCCCACACGGCATTCGTATGAGCCATTGTCGATTACCAAAACGCGCTTTGGCGAACCCATTTCCACGCTTTTATTCAAAGAATTAACTATTTCAATATCCTATCCGCAAAATGGTAAACAAATGCGGCCAAACTCAAGTGTTGGTAAGCGTATTCAGCTTCCGACGCGGTATAGCACGAATAAACCATACCATGCAAGAGATGACAGCCCTGCACGTAACTGTAATTGTCAAATATTCCGCAAATGTGAGGCGTGCATTTTTTAATTTGTTTGCAAAATGTATGTTAAACTAAAATTGGAGTGTTCGGAAAACTCAACGGTGAGCAATAAATATGCTGCATGATATTTGAAACCATCTAGTGCAAACATTTCTTCGCAGCCGCCGCAATTTTTGACAATAGAGGACGACGCAACAATCTATGATTTAAAGACGCAACTAGAGCCATCCATAGGCATCCCTGCACACATGCAGCAAATTAGCGAAATTTCTGTAACAATCAAAGCCAAAGATGTCCCCGAACCTGTGCCTCCTGCAGCCCCAGTCAAATTAGCTTTTGCTGTGGGTGATATCACCAATGCTGAAGTGGCTAAGGATGCAACTGAAACAGTTGCATGCATCGCAAAAAAACAACTGGTCGGAAATGAGGATGAACTTACCTATGCCGGTGTAATGCCAGAGAAGCGTAGATTCGCATTGGTAATCACCAATGAAATTGACACAATAACATCTGGCTTCGGCGCTCTGATGAAGCATTTCCATAAACTCTTCGAGACATTCGAGGATTGTGGCATGCTCCAATTCAGGGAGAGCGCCTCCGTAAAGGGGTTTGGTAATCATTTAATGATTATATCCGACGATAAGAAAACCTGTGACTGGATAACCAATGGCACAAGCACCATGACTCCCCGTTACAAATGCTCCAGCTTTATTGAGTTTTTTGGCTTGATAAAGTGCAAATTTATAATGCCAATCATTGTTAAGGACAAGGAATTGAGCATTATTTTTAAGCTATTAGAGCAGCAGAACACTGGAATAGTGACGGATAAGTGGGTTGTGACGGATCGCACTATGTTGGATCCCAAGAGTGACGTTTACGCCGAAAAAGCAGCTTCAATCATTGTGGATAATCAGGAAGTTGTGCTCTACGTTGATCGGGAGAGTAAAACATTAATTTCCGAACGGGGCTTCAAGCTCAAATACTGTTTTTGGCGCTTGAATTTTTCATTCTCATAGATGTATTTCTTGAAACCTACTTATGGTCTAAAACATGAATAACAATATTATACATACGCAGAAGAATTGAAGAACAATTAAAGAGTTTAATTATATATTTTTGATTTTTGACCTGATTTTCAAATTAATGCACTGCTTGTCACTTGTTAGGTGGACGGACTGCTTGCCAGCATTGACAAGTCTTGCGTTTATCAGGGTTGACAGCTTTCATTTTTTCATTAAATCAAACTTGTGAATTACAGATCATTGTTTTGTTACAAATCGGTGTAAAAATTGAGATTTATTTGTGCTTAAAATATCTTAAGCAATATCCATGGTCAGATCGGTCTGGTTAGTGCATATTTATTGTATGTCGTATCAGTTTAAGCGGCAAGAATTTGTTATGCTGGCAACCCTAACATTCGGTCAATAAGCAAAGAAGAAGCAGCACAAAAAAAACATCTTCGGAAAAACCGAGTCGAGTCGTAAAAATCCTGGGGAAAAGTCTGGGCTCTGGGCCTTCTACAGGCAGCATCAAAACAGAAAACGAATCAATTGAATCTAATCGAAACCCGGGACACTGCTAATACGACAAAATGGAACGAATCAATTTGGAGAACATCGATATTGCACGTCTGGAGGAGGCTGTTGTCGTATTCTATCGCTCAAACTCCCATGAGCAGGCAATTACGCACGAATGGCTTACGGAGGCCGAGGGCAGCCCACAAGCCTGGCAATTTTCATGGCAGCTAATGCAACTGGGCAAGGTAAGATATGACCTGCGCATCAATTAATTCAATATGTATACGCTTGCATGCATCTGCATACACATACATACTACGCTGTTCCACCTACTTCTGCTCTACACCACCCACCCATTCTCTCACTCTCTCTCTCTTCCCGCGCAGAGTCAAGAAGTGCAGTTTTTTGGCGCAATCACCCTGCACGCCAAGCTGATGAAGCACTGGAATGAGGTGCCGCCGGAGAACCGCGAGGAGCTCAAGCAAAAGATACTCGAGAAGATTGTGCAGTTTGCGGGCGGACCAAAGATTGTCCTCAATCGGCTGTGCATTGCATTGGGCGCATATATTGTCCACATGCTGGACGAGTGGCCCAACGCCATTGAGGAGGTGATTGATACGTTTCAGAACCAGCGCATACCCAATGTCAAGCCCGATGTTCAGCTCTGGATCATGCTGGAGGTGCTGACGGCCATACCCGAGGAGGCGCAGGTCATACACACCTCGGTAAAACGGGTGACGTTGCGAGCGGAGGTGGGCAAGCGGGTCCCCGTCATTCTGCAGACAATGGAAGCATATCTGAGGCAACAAATGAACCGCGTGTGGGATGCAGAGGCCTGAAGTATTCACTGCCGTGTTCCTGGTAGTCCTTGCGCGTGGTCAGCGTCTGATCGAAGTTTGGCTGACTGGCCTGTGCACAGGCCCCCAACCAGGCGCTCAGCGTGTGCTCATCCGATTCGTAAATGGAAAACTTCGACTGAAATGGACGCATTTCCTGAAATTCTCTGGCCAGACGCTCTTTGAGACCACGAAGCTGAGCACAACCGCCTGTGAGATACACATGATCCACCATGCGCTGCTGTTCCTGGGCGTTGAACAGTTTCAGCACAAAGGCTATCAACTCCGCCAGGCCCGCCTCCGAGGAGCCAATCATGCTCGGCTGAAAGAGAATCTCTGGCACACGGATATCCTCTACTCCGAAATGCAATTGATAGTTTTCGGCTGCGCTCTGGGTCTGCACTGCATTGCCATCATCAAAGTTCACATCGTAGTGGCTGAGAATTTTCTCGTACTCCAGCAACTGCTCATTGTCGGCATCCGAATCGCTGTCGTCGTTGTAGCGATTGATACGCTTGTACACATCCCAGTCGTTGTCGTTCATTCCAAAGCCATCGTCCTCCTCCTCGCCATTGGCCTTGCGGCGCTTCTCACTGCGCGCCAGCGTCGAGATGATGCGCATCCGCTCCTGTGCGGCGTGCGTGTGCCGTTTGCCCTGTTCCTGTCGCTGCTGCTGGCGTGTCTGTTTGCGCTGCAGTAGCTGCTCCCGCTTGTCCTGTAGTTCGGCCAACCAATCCGCCTGGGATACACCCGCGGGTGCTTTTGGCATTTTATCAAGTTTAAGCTGCTCCTTGCTGGGCTTGGGTGAGCTCAGGGGCCGCTCCTTGATGCGCTTGATGCGATTACTAATTGTGCTGATGAGCGAGTCCAATTCCTCCAGATTGCCAATCTGCTGCTGGGCCAGAGCCAGCTCGAACTTCTGCAGCTTATCCTGCTCATAAAGCTGTCGAAGTTTGTTGTACACAAACAATTGTTGCTCATCCTCGCGCAGCTTCTCGCCCTCCCTGCGATTCTTAATCGCTATCAAGCGCATCGCTAACTCACGACGCTTCTCCAGCTTCTGCTCGGCTGTGAGCAAAGCGTTGGTGGCCGTAACCGGATTGTAGGGCAGCTGTATCTTCATGATGTGCTCCTCGTAGTAGTCGATTTGGGCCCACTTCAGCAGCTCCTCCCTGTAGTCGACGGCAATGTGGCAGTGCTCGTGTACGAGCTTCTCCATTCGGCTGATAGAGATGGCATTCAGATGCACCGGATACTTCATTTGCATCAGACATAGCAAATATGTGATAATGTGATAGCCGCCGACATTCAGGCGACGCACATGCTGCATTTGGAGTTTGCCATTCAACACTGGAATCACATGGGTGGTACTGTAGCCAAAGGAGATGATGAGGGCATCCGACACCTGCAATGAGAACAGAAATCTTTGTCAATTAAATCAACCCTTTTTGACGATGGATGTGCGCTCAACCTTTTTGCGACGATGCTGATAGTGCTCCCAGCTGTAGAGGGCATCGATGCCGTACGAAACGGCTGGAATGCCATAGCATTCAAAGAGCAGTTCGCTCATGTTCTGGCGGCAGAAGTTGGGATTGGCCAGCGCCTCGGTCAGCACGATTGGATGGGCTATGCTCTGCTCACCCTCGAAGCCCATTTTGGTGAATATATAGTCAAAGATCTGCTCCTGATGGTTCCAATTCGTTATTATGTTCCGCTCGAATGGCGACTTTAGATGAGCCCGCACTGCTTCGATGTTGGTTATATCATTGCCCACTTGTATTTCGGCTGGGACTTCAGCTGCGACCGGTGTCGAGGCGCCTTCCGAGGCGCCCGGAGTGGTTTCCTTCTTTCTATCTTTGCGTGGTTTGGTCAAGACGTTTCTGAATCGCAGCGCCGGCTCCTTGGCGTTGTTCCAGCCCACACGGCATTCGTATGAGCCATTGTCGATTACCAAAACGCGCTTTGGCGAACCCATTTCCACGCTTTTATTCAAAGAATTAACTATTTCAATATCCTATCCGCAAAATGGTAAACAAATGCGGGCAAACTCAAGTGTTGGTAAGCGTATTCAGCTTCCGACGCGGTATAGCACTAATAAACCATACCATGCAAAAGATGACAACCCTGCACGTAACTGTAATTGTCAAATATTCCGCAAATGTGAGGCGTGCATTTTTTAATTTGTTTGCAAAATGTATGTTAAACTAAAATTGGAGTGTTCGGAAAACTCAACGGTGAGCAATAAATATGCTGCATGATATTTGAAACCATCTAGTGCAAACATTTCTTCGCAGCCGCCGCAATTTTTGACAATAGAGGACGACGCAACAATCTATGATTTAAAGACGCAACTAGAGCCATCCATAGGCATCCCTGCACACGTGCAGCAAATTCACTCGCTTGATAAAACTATTGGCGACCACAACAAGGTGTCTGCAGTCCTGGACTGTCAAGTGGATAAAATCAACGGAATGGCCTTCTCGCTGTATAAAAATGAGGAATTCGTTTGCTTTCTGCAATTCTACAATCAGAAGGAGGGAGAGAGGCAAACAAATTTTTTCAGCATGCCACTGGGGAATAGAAATTTGCCCATAGAGAAGGTGGCCCATCTTGAGATTTCGGAATCGGAGCAGTCCTGGAGCTCAAGCTGCAGTGACACAACGACCGACCCTAGCAGCAGCTCCAGCGGATCCTCCTCAAATACCAGCGGGAGCTCGAAGGCAAAAAAATATCAGAAAAGAGTCCACAAGGATAATGTCAAAACAATGTTATCTCAAGAAAAAAGGTAATATCACAATTATCTCTTAAGTATAATCAAATATTTCTTAAGCGTAATTTGTAGGGCGCGTCTTACCGACGAGAACATGGACTTGCATTCGCTCGTCGACGACCCAGTGACTACAACAATTTCACCTCTAATGACGAAGTCCACCGAACTAGATGCAGCGACAGACTTTTCTGGTTATATTACCGCTAGTGATTTGACACCGATTAGCGAAATTTCTGTAACAATCAAAGCCAAAGATGTCCCCGAACCTGTGCCTCCTGCAGCCCCAGTCAAATTAGCTTTTGCTGTGGGTGATATCACCAATGCTGAAGTGACTAAGGATGCAACTGAAACAGTTGCATGCATCGCAAAAAAACAACTGGTCGGAAATGAGGATGAACTTACCTATGCCGGTGTAATGCCAGAGAAGCGTAGATTCGCATTGGTAATCACCAATGAAATTGACACAATAACATCTGGCTTCGGCGCTCTGATGAAGCATTTCCATGGACTCTTCGAGACATTCGAGGATTGTGGCATGCTCCAATTCAGGGAGAGCGCCTCCGTAAAGGGGTTTGGTAATCATTTAATGATTATATCCGACGATAAGAAAACCTGTGACTGGATAACCAATGGCACAAGCACCATGACTCCCCGTTACAAATGCTCCAGCTTTATTGAGTTTTTTGGCTTGATAAAGTGCAAATTTATAATGCCAATCATTGTTAAGGACAAGGAATTGAGCATTATTTTTAAGCTATTAGAGCAGCAGAACACTGGAATAGTGACGGATAAGTGGGTTGTGACGGATCGCACTATGTTGGATCCCAAGAGTGACGTTTACGCCGAAAAAGCAGCTTCAATCATTGTGGATAATCAGGAAGTTGTGCTCTACGTTGATCGGGAGAGTAAAACATTAATTTCCGAACGGGGCTTCAAGCTCAAATACTGTTTTTGGCGCTTAAATTTTTCATTCTCATAGATGTATTTCTTGAAACCTACTAATGGTCTAAAAACATGAATAACAATATTATACATACGCAGAAGAATTGAAGAACAATTAAAGAGTTTAATTATATATTTTTGATTTTTGACCTGATTTTCAAATTAATGCACTGCTTGTCACTTGTTAGGTGGACGGACTGCTTGCCAGCATTGACAAGTCTTGCGTTTATCAGGGTTGACAGCTTTCATTTTTTCATTAAATCAAACTTGTGAATTACAGATCATTGTTTTGTTACAAATCGGTGTAAAAATTGAGATTTATTTGTGCTTAAAATATCTTAAGCAATATCCATGGTCAGATCGGTCTGGTTAGTGCATATTTATTGTATGTCGTATCAGTTTAAGCGGCAAGAATTTGTTATGCTGGCAACCCTAACATTCGGTCAATAAGCAAAGAAGAAGCAGCACAAAAAAAACATCTTCGGAAAAACCGAGTCGAGTCGTAAAAATCCTGGGGAAAAGTCTGGGCCCTGGGCCTTCTACAGGCAGCATCAAAACAGAAAACGAATCAATTGAATCTAATCGAAACCCGGGACACTGCTAATACGACAAAATGGAACGAATCAATTTGGAGAACATCGATATTGCACGTCTGGAGGAGGCTGTTGTCGTATTCTATCGCTCAAACTCCCATGAGCAGGCAATTACGCACGAATGGCTTACGGAGGCCGAGGGCAGCCCACAAGCCTGGCAATTTTCATGGCAGCTAATGCAACTGGGCAAGGTAAGATATGACCTGCGCATCAATTAATTCAATATGTATACGCTTGCATGCATCTGCATACACATACATACTACGCTGTTCCACCTACTTCTGCTCTACACCACCCACCCATTCTCTCACTCTCTCTCTCTTCCCGCGCAGAGTCAAGAAGTGCAGTTTTTTGGCGCAATCACCCTGCACGCCAAGCTGATGAAGCACTGGAATGAGGTGCCGCCGGAGAACCGCGAGGAGCTCAAGCAAAAGATACTCGAGAAGATTGTGCAGTTTGCGGGCGGACCAAAGATTGTCCTCAATCGGCTGTGCATTGCATTGGGCGCATATATTGTCCACATGCTGGACGAGTGGCCCAACGCCATTGAGGAGGTGATTGATACGTTTCAGAACCAGCGCATACCCAATGTCAAGCCCGATGTTCAGCTCTGGATCATGCTGGAGGTGCTGACGGCCATACCGGAGGAGGCGCAGGTCATACACACCTCGGTGAAACGGGTGACGTTGCGAGCGGAGGTGGGCAAGCGGGTCCCCGTCAGTCTGCAGACAATGGAAGCATATCTGAGGCAACAAATGAACCGCGTGTGGGATGCAGAGGCCTACAGCAACATGATACGAGCTGTCAAGTGCGTTGGCACTTGGATCAAGTGAGTGAAATGGAATGCACTTGCCTCTGCCTCATTGTACATGGTAGTTGTTGATTTGATTCTCTTCGCCCCATAGGAACATTGGCTACTCCCTGGAGGCTTGTGTGACCATAACGGCTGTCCTTTTGGAGGTGGTCAACAAGTGCTACTGGCCCGCCGTTCAAACTGGCGATGGTTGCATGTCCGCCGATGAGAATGAGCTGGCCGAGAACTGTTTGAAGTCCATGGTGAACATTATGATCCAACCGGAGAGCCACAGCTATCCGAAGACGGCGTTTGTTCTGCTCCGCATGTATCTGGACTCGCTGTGTGATATCACAAAGATGGAATGGAAGCGTGACAATGACAACGAGGACATCATCGTGCACATTTACATGCTGTTTGTCTCCGCTGTCGAACGCCACTCGTCGCTGCTGCTGAGCGGCGTCATATCGCCGGATCCGAATCTACCGATTACAGTGAATCGCATGGTCCAGGAGATATTACACTGCACCGACAAGCCGGGCATCTATCCGGTGGAGGAATCCTGCAGCACCATGGCCCTGGCCTTCTGGTACATGCTGCAGGACGAGGTTTTTGCCATGACCAACGAGGAGCACAAGCGCAGATGCTGGGAGTACATTAAACCGCTGTACGCACACTTGACCAGCATTCTGGTGAGGAAATCGGAGCAGCCCGATGAGAAATCACTGGACAGATGGAGCTCCGATGATCTGGAATGTTTTCGATGCTATAGACAGGACATTTCGGATACTTTTGTGAGTGGTTTACCCCCTAATCCAAATGCAAAGAAACTTTGCTGATGACTGTTCTCCTCCCTCCGTAGATGTACTGCTATGATGTGCTGCACGATTACATATTGGTGATCTTGTCGGCCATGTTGGACGAGGCCATAGTCGATATGCAACGCCATCCGACGCATTGGACCAAACTGGAGGCCTGCATCTATTCGTTTCAATCGGTGGCCGAGCACTTTACCCACGACACTTCAAGACAAATTCCAAATTTGATGCGTGTATTGAACGAGATACCGTACGAGAAGATGAACGTCAAGCTGCTGGGCACAGCCCTCGAGACAATTGGTTCCTATTGCAATTGGTTAATGGAGAATCCCACCTTTATACCCGCGGCCATTGATCTGCTGGTGCGCGGCCTCAACTCGTCCATGGCCGCCCAGGCTACGCTCGGTCTGAAGGAGCTTTGTCGCGACTGTCAGCTGCAATTGAAACCGTATGCCGAGCCGCTGCTCAATGCATGCCATGCATCGCTCAATGCGGGCCGCATGAAGAACTCGGATTCGGTGCGGCTGATGTTTAGCATTGGCAAATTGATGAGCCTCCTGCCGCCCGATGGTATACCCAAGTACTTGGATATTATAGTCAGTCCATGCTTTGAGGAATTGCAGGCCATTTGCCAATCTGATGGGGTAAGTTTCAAACAAATTAAGTGCCTCCAAGTTGTGTGATTACAATAAGGTTTCTATATCTATGCGCCCACAGAAAACACCCACGGCACGGATTCGCACAATTTTCCGTCTCAACATGATCTCCACACTGTTCTCCTCGTTGAATACCGATTTGAGTGAAGAGGACAAGGAAATACAGATTGTCCAGCCAGTTTTGTTGGTCATGCAAAGAACTATGCCCATTTTTCGGCGTATTGCTGAGATGTGGGTGGAGGAGTTAGATGTTTTAGAGGTAAAAAAAAAAAAACGGGGCTTAAGTCATCACATACAGCGTGCTCAATGTGTTTTTTTTGTTTGTTTGTACTAACAGGCCGCCTGTGGCGCCATGAAGCATGCCATTATGAACCTAAGAAGCAGCTTCCGACCCATGCTGCAGGATCTGTGCTACTTTATTGTGGCCAGCTTTCAGACACGCTGCTGTGCACCAACGCTAGAGATATCCAAGACAGTGAGTACTCTCTCTCTCTCACTCTTCCTCTCTTGCTAGTCGGATTTTAATTGAATATAATTTCTTTTGCCAGACTATTGTCATGTTTTACAGGGAAGAGGGCTGCAAGCCCTATATGCAAGAACTTCTGCGTGAGTTTATTAAGCACAGCTTCAAGCTATTTGAGAACACGCCACAGCAGAACTTCTCCAATATATCAGACACCATGGAGGCCTTCTTTGGCTGCCTGGCATATATTGTTAAGAAAATACCTCAGGCATTGGAAGACAAGACACTGGCCTACGATCGCCTCGTCTACTATGGCCAGCGTTGCATGACGCTGCCCGAGAGCGGGGCCATACGCAGTGGCATACAGTTCATGACACACTTTACGATTCAGTCCCGCAACCATGAGCACATCACCGAGGTCGTGTTGAAAACTGGCGAACAAACCGTATACTTTATCATGATGTGTGTGGGATATTTGACGCCACGCTCACAGGTGGACAAGTTTGCCGATATTATATTGGCTTTCAATAAAAAGTATCCTGCGGAGCTGGCCATCTGGCTGAAGACCGTGATGTCCGTCCCACATTTCCCCACGCCACTATTAAACGATGCAGAAAAGTCGCGATATGTGTCATTGATCATCAAGTGAGTTCAGATTTGAGTGCAGTTTTGAGACAGCAACATGATTATAAACGAATTCTTTTACACAGGGAAAAGGTCAACAAGCGGCTGCTGCAACAGCATCTGTCGGAGATGGCCATCAAGTTGCGTGGACTCACCGAGAAGTTCCAGTAAATGTGAATTAGCCTACAGCTATTTAGAGGCCAACAATTCACACCTTTCGCACGCTTTTCAAAACTGGATTCTAAATGTGTGTGTTCTGTCCCCAGCCCTCCCCACTCCTTGTATTTAGACTGTAATTAGGCGACTCTGTAAATGTTCCTCGACCTTAAGTTGTTGTCCCATCCAGCCCCCACCCACGCCCACGCCCTAATTTTAACACCTCAAAAAGCTCTCGACAAGACAAACTTTTATTTATAATTTTACAAAAATTACATGCTTTCATTTACAATTTATTTTTCATAGGGTTGTATAACTCATTTTTATTTATTGTTTGTTTTTAATTTTTTTTTTGTTTATACATAAATATTTTAATATTCTTACATTTTAGAAAGTTTGATTTTTCACCATTTCCTTCTGTATGAAAAAAATCTGCCTTTCAGTTTTTTTTTTTGTTTATTAATTAATATTTTATACCCATTTTTAGACCTTGCCATTATTATTATTGTTTTGCAACTTTTTCCCATATCGTGTATGTATCTATAATGCCAAAAATATGTAAATACATCTCTTTATATAATATATATATATATATATATATATATATATGTGTGTCTATAGCTAAACTGAAGCCTTTCGTTTTCTTGGCCTGTGTACAGCACTTGGTAGTGGTAGCAAAAACTTATTTTGATCCATCTTCCATCTCCCTGCAACATGCAATTTAACTTGCTCATCTCTCATTTAAGAATCACCGTTTTAGAATAGCTTGAGAATATCCTTCCGCTTTTTTAAAGACCCTGGGAGGGGGGCACAATGACTATAAAACCAAACAAATGGCTGACACGGATCCAGTATTGTATGTTTACATATATATTTTAGATTAATATATAGAAGTAGTAGCTACGACCAGCAAAAGTCCAAGTCTGTTGTTGTTGATGATGATGTTGATGTTGGGATGTGAATGCTGTTTGATTATGATATCTAGGGAGGGGTGTATTCACTGTGCATAGACGCTTCGAAATTGGCACAATCTTTGGGTGGCAGTTAGCTCCTCTGGTACTCCTCCTGCTCCAAGCATCCTGCGTTGCCACAGTAAATATCTCCCAAAAAAAAGACGCACACGAAAAAAAGCTACACCAAATCTCTGGGCATTCCTGGGATCAATAGGAATACGATTACGGTTATGGATTACCCTTACCCCACATATGTATATTTAAACATCTATATATATATGTATATATATGTGATACATACAAAAATACACTCATGTCCATACATATGTACCACAATTTTATCATTCTTTTTAGGCTTTCATTTCATTGTTGTTTTTTTTTTTTTTTTTGTAGGTGTGTGTATCGTACATATGTATAGGTAATAGGTAAGCAGCTAATTGCTAGGCTACTCATATAAATTGCATATATTATAAACTTTAGCTGTGGAGAGAGAGCTGAGCAGAGCTATATGCCGTGTATGTATTTGTAGTTAAAGATACAGTATATATTTATATGGTTTCGTGTGGTATGGTATTATAGCTTATGTAGGTTGAAATATGCAGTAGATGTGGTAGGTAGGTATAATAGTATGCTCAATCATGGTGGTAAACAGCTACGCCTTAAGTTACGACAATTCAATTCAACTGTACAATTATATATCTGGTTTTTGTTTTAGTTTTTGTTTCTATCTTTTGTTTCACGTTTTCACTGAAATGGTAAGAGCACAATTAGGATTCTAATATTATTGTAAATGTTCCGTTTGTTAAACTCTAGGCAAACAGCAAACAGCGAATTTCATGCAAAATAAAACATACTTAAGATAGAAATCATTCTTCACTTCGGGCATGCTTAAAAATCAACATTCGCATTCAAAATTATTATTGGATCTGGATATTTGGGATTTTTCTGATCTTTATTGGTACTATGCATATATTTCATTATAGATAAGTATTTTCATATTGTATTTATATAAAGAAATTGTGTGTTTTAATCGTTTCCACGCCCCCGCACTAAAGTCCCCAAAAAGGATTTCCTTTTCTTCCTTCTTCTTTTTCTCGGTTTGTGCTTTTGTACGTGTATGTGTGTGTGTAGTGGGTTTGTGTATTGTGTTTGTGGATCGTGGACCTTGTGTGGGATCATCTCGAAAGCCTCAAGCTTTGCTTTAACTTTGTGCAACGCCAGCGTTTTTTGAGATTTGTTGTTCGTGTGTTGTTGGATTGGATTGTTGACCAGGAAATTGTTGGTTTTGTTTTCTCAGTAAGTGCTTCCGTCTGGCGGCGGCGTTGTTAAAAACTCATCTTGTCGCTTGTGCTCGAATAGGGCTCGCACAGTGCCGCTGTCCGAGGGCAGATCGGATTTTCGCCTCAGCAATGGCTTCTCCTTGTTCCGTTCGCCGCGTATCTGTGAGTAACGGAAGTGGGGTAGGCCAAAATATATGTAAAGTGCCCGGCTACAACAGGTACAATTACGAGTATATGTACGTGTTTTGCAACACTGGACAAGTGACGTTACATGGTGACAGGTGTGACGTTACGTGTGAGTTACTTTACGTTAACGATATAGAGAGTGCGTAGAAGAAGTTGTTGGTTGGCTTTTGTTTCGGGGGAGGGGGTTTTAGCCGATCGACCCCCACAGATGGAATACAATACAGCTACAAAATGTACATCAACTAACTGATGAAAAGTCGCCGTTTCTTTTTCATATGCATGTTACATAGTCCAATTCGAGATCAAGTGGGTGGTGTGTGGTTGCGTGTGGGTGTGTGTGTGAGTATGTTTCGAGTGGGTTAGAGCGTAGGCACAGTGGCTCAGGGTGTGAGAGTAAACGGTATGGTGTCCAATACTTTAAAATGTTTTCCACTTCAATTTAGAAATTTTTCTTTTAATAAAATTACGTATGTATGTACGTACATATGTATGTGATGTAAACTGAATGAATTTTATACAAATGATGGAATGATGGAACTACATGTGTACACTTCACTATGTATATTTTTTCCCACCCCATTTAGATGAGATTCTGAGCCACTGTGCATATGATATGCTCAGAGTAAAAGTCATACATATATACAGAGAGTGAGAGGATTGTGGTTTGTTGTGCTTATGGATTCGAGTTTAAAGACAGTGCGAGAGAGAGAACCAATAAGAGATCATAATAAATAAATAGACAAAAGTTAAAGATATACAAATATGTATTTTTTTTTGTTTGTTTGTTTGTTGTTGTTTAAATGACATGAGTGTGATTAATTTTAACAGACATTCGTTCGATTAGAATTAGAGTTGAATTAGAGTAGGTGTTCTAAGCTGGGCACAGCTCACAGCAGACGCCATGGATCAGATCACACGTGGCGGTATTAGTAGTTGTTTAGTGTGGTTAGTGTGGCAAGTGCCTGTCTCACCTCTCGGGGCTCCTGCAGCGACGACTGTTTCTGTGGTGGTAGCGGCGGCGGTGGCTGGCGCGATTGCTGCGGTAGCTGATCATAGGCCAGATCATTCTCATCGTATTGATCGTACAAATTTTGACTATCGGTTAGCTGCTGCTGCTCTAGCAGGCGGCAGTCGTTAAAGCGGCTCGACTTGGACCATTCTGGATTGGTCTTGGCCAGGCTCTCCACCTGCTGCCATAGCTCCTCCCGCTGCGACAGCTTCTCCCGTTCCCTGTCGAGTATACAAAATAAATTCATTTGATTAGATTGCAAATGCAAGAGTTTAAGAGTGTCTGTGACGTACATTTGCTTCTCCTGTTTGTAGTTCTTGCTGCACTCATCAAACAACCGCTGATCCATCTCCATGAACAGCTTGAGCGCATTGTAAATGAGACCGTGTATGGTCTTGTTCCAGTGCGTCTTGGAGTTGCGATTCAACGCGGGGAACATAATGGGCAATATGACCGCCGAATTATCCGCTATTAGGGACATTATGTACTCGTTGTTCCAATAATACAACGCCCGTTCGGCCACCTGAAAGTGTGGCGAGGAGACACACTTGGCTATCTGACGGAACAGCGGCACCATCACCTTCTGGAATTCGGCCGGCTCGATCACATCCAGCAGCTCTTCCACCTCATTCAAGAACATCACCTCCTTGGGACTGTGCGTCTTCGGCCAGAATTTAAGCAAACTTCTGCAGGGTATTTGGGTAAAAAACAAATCAAATTTTCTATGTGCTAATCACAATGTGTGTGTGTGTGTATGACATTTGGGTTTAAACTCACTTGATGACCGCCTCGGACAAACTGGGATCCTTCTCGAGGAACTGCACCACACAGTAGGTCAACTGTGGATGATAGACCGAGAGGCTCTTGGCTTTGTGCAATGGCAGCAATACCTTAAGTAAAAATTGTTTATGCTCCTCTTTGAGCGGTAGAGCAAAACCATTGATAATGCTGCCCAATATTTCCAATAATTCGGCTATGCCATTATGATGTTCCGTCTCATAAATAAATCTAAATATAAAAAAAAAGACTCAGTATTAGAGGGGGGAGGTGGGAATGTACAATTAGTTTTTTGGTGTTGGTTGTTCGACTCACCTGTAAAACACATTGTTGATCTGCTTTCTAATAAATGCTCTCAAGCCCAAAAATTTTCCATAGATGCGATGTAAAACAGTCTTTAGGAAATCACGTTCACGTGGATCCTCCGAATCGAATAAATCCAATAATTGTAATACAAATTGATGATCAATAAAACGTTTAGCAATATTTGGTTGGAAATCCGGTGACTCCAAGAAACGCAAAAACAGCTCATATACCAATTGAAGGTGCGGCCAAGATGACTCGAGCGTTGGCTCATCCTCTTCGGGATCAAATTCGGCCCCATTCGGATTTGATGATGGCGGCAGCGTTCGGAATAGATTCACAGAGAACTGTCAAAAAAAAAACTTTGAAATTAGTAACGAGAAAGTGTATGTGAGGAAGGAGTTCAGAATATTAACCATATTGATTGCCTCCGGATAGATAATTTCGGTGATGATGCCATTTTGGTTTGTGAGAAAATCGACCATCTCGTGCAGAGCCGCACGCTTCACCTCCTTGAATTTGAGGTCGCTGAGCGGCTCGGAGAAATCGAAAAGCGTGCAACATTGTCGTATCTTTTGGATGAAAAGCTCTTCCCTTTCACTGGCGGCCGTCTCTGTGGATTCATACAGAAAAGTGTTTTGTTATTATTATTTAACGTTTTATAAATGGTTTATTTATCTACAGTAAACTATAAAATATTAGCCTACAAAAAACGACGAAAGAAATCAACAACAAATCGACTAAACCAACCAAAAAGTAAAGCAAGCGAAACTCAAAATCAAGTAACAATGAAGATCAGATAAAGGATCAAGTTCTATGGCCTCCAAACCGAATGCCCAATGACAACAGGTAGACCGGTAGAGGCTTCTCTCACTTTATCTACATGCCGCATGGCCATTGGTTTGGGAATTAACTGGAGAGATAGCAACCTCGAAGTGCAGGCAGTGCCAAGGCAACCGAAGCAGTGGGTGGCGAATGAAACAGATTCCGATCGCGTGCGCGTCCTGGACTGCCCGTCAACTGTTGCAACGTTTGCGGGGATGTGAGGCCCTGATGATGATGATGCGGCGGCGGCGGCGGTTGGCCACCAATTCCAACACCACCTGTAACATCACCATTCTGATGTATGCCCAGCGTGGTCGTTGGCAGAACAACAACTGTAGATGATGCTGATGTCGTGGCTGCTGCTGCTGTTGTTCCACTGCCATTGCGCTGACCAATGCCCAGGGAGATGCTTATGCCACCCACTAGATTCTGAGCCACCGTTGGACGCAGCTCCTCTGGTGGCAATGGCACGGACACGGGCACGATCACTTCAGCGGCAGTCGATGGCAGGGTTGAGGATGCTGCTGCTGCTGCTGCAGCACTATTGCCCACACTCTTGGTGGCATTCAATATGTTCTTAATGGCTGCGGCCGCGCTCACGGGTGACTGGAAGATGATGAGGTAGGCGATGAAATGAGAAGTAGATTGATTTTTTTTTTTTTAGACATTTTTGTTCGTGAATCAGATTTAGTATGTGTCTGTGTATGGGTGTGCAGAATATGTGTGTGAGTGTGGGTGTGTGTTATGTGAGTAAGTTGAAACGGTGCGCTGCAAACCTTGCTGGCCGCTATCGAACCGCCTGCATTATTGGTAGAGGATGATGAAGCAGATGATGAGGAGGACGAGGACGATGTTGCTGAGGCGGCTGCTGTGGCCGCAGCTGCTGCTGCAGCCGATGTGGCCGCCGAGAAGTGTTGCGCCAATGTCGATACCAGCGAATTTCCACCACTAGCTGTGCTTCCTGCTGCTGCTGCTGTTGTTGCTGTTGCTGGTGCCGTGTTCTTCGACATTCCTGCATTTGAGGACAGCGACAACGATGATGTGGAGGATTGTGAGCCAAACGGCGACGAGGCTATCAAAGCGGCGGCAGCTGAATTCGCCCCACCACCATAGGTGGCGGCTGAGGACGAGCACGAGGCCGAGGAGTTGGCGGCGGCCGAGGCCAGTGAGGAAGAGGCCGCCTGCGACAACGAGGACAGTGCCGATGCCGACGAATTGGAGCTGGTCGACGACGACGATGGTGACGACGATGTTGTGGTGGTTACTACTGCTGCCTCCGGCGGGGACAGTGGCATCTTTCGACCCTCAAACTTGGCCTTCAGCTCCTCCACGCTGCTGAACTTGAATTTGCTGGCGCCCTGCGCAGACGATTCCTGCGATTGCTGCTGGTCCTCCTCCTCGTCGTCGGCCAGCTGGTCTAGACCGCTGTGGAACGATGGCGATTTGGGTATGCGTATGCCCAAGGCATAATATCCAGCGGCTGGTGGCTGATCCTGTTGCTTCTGCAGAGGCTGTGTGTGCTGCTGCTGCTGCTGTTGCTGTTGCTCTTTGCTGGAGGTGGAAGCAGAAACAGATTGGGTTGATTCCTCCTGCTGCTGCTGCTGCTGTTGTTGTTGTGACTGCTGCTGCTGCTTCTGCTTGGGTCCGTTGAGGTTACCCGTCAGCAACATAGCACCGAATACCATTTCATTAGTGCCGCACTTGGTTTAATGGTCGTCACCACCAAATCGAAAAGCATTTGTCTGCCCCCGAACTGCCGCTGACCACCAACAACAACGACGACGACGACGACGACATCAACAACGAACGACAAAACGACACACACACAAATTGTTATACACTCTATGAAATATTGAACGTGAGGAGGAGTTTAAGCATGAATGTATAGCATCTGTAATGGAACTGCAATATAGATAATGATTAGGATTACGATTAATGCCATGTGCGATCGATCATGAGTGGGTTTGGGGGGCTGGGGAGGGTGGACAAAAACACACACATACACAAAATGAATATGAAAATGGAAATGAAAATGAAAATCAAGTGCATGACAATAAAAAATACAAAAAAAAAACTGAAATGCGGCAACGCCTCCTCCGCCGATAATTTGCAGGAAATTATTAACTTTTGAGACACCACTTACAATGCTCAGGCAGGGCAGTGAGCAGAGTATAGAACGTAGAAATTACGCTAGTGCTAATACAGCTAATATATATAATATTCTTGCTGCTATAAATTATTTTTTTTTTGGGCACTGCTGGGGCTGGCACGACGCAGAGCTGCTCTTCGACTGCGGCGCTGCCGGGCTATCGGAAAAATCAATACATTTTTGGGTGGGTACGGAACGGGGAGCAGAGCAGAGCAGAGCGAGAGTTATGGGATACCGATGGAATGGCAACAGTGGCCGCTGAACAACACTTTTGCCACAGCAATAGCAATAGCAGCAGCAACAACAAACACAAAACAAAAACAACAAAAAACAGCAACGAAAATGAAACAATAATATTAACCAACACACGCGAAATTTGTTTATTCGATTTGTATGTCAACAGGCGAGCAACAACCGCCTAAGCAATTAGCAAAAAGGTAAAGTCAATAACAATTTTGATGAAGGCTATGCACAAGACAGACAGACACACACGCACACACACACACACACACACAAACACACAACCACGCACGCGGAGAAAATGAAACAACCAGCAAAGAGAGAGAGACTTGGCGCAGCAAGAGCGTGGAGACATTCAATTCATTGGAGTGCGCAGCAAAGAGAGATGTAATTGAGAGCTGTCTGCAAAGGTGTATGTGTGTGTGTGTGTGTGTGTGTGTGTGTGTGTGTGTGGGTGGACGTGCGTCAGTGTTGCCACCCACCTAATCAGAAGGCAATGGCACTCCCTTGACCTTTAACGTAGTACGTGATTAATAAATAATAAACCAATTGCAACAGCTGAGCAAAAACAATTACAAAAATGTCGCAACAAAGCCGAGATTCATTTTCGGACTGACCGAAATCGATGACCAGAGACTTGCTGATTTTGTTGTTGTTTTATAACAGTTAGGGAGAGCACAGCCAACTGTATTTACAGTGTACATAAGCTTGTGGTAGAGCTGCTTTTAAGGGATTTTTCTTAAAATGAAATTGTTGAAATTTTACAAAAATTAATAAAATTCGAATAGCTGCAATTTTTAAAATATTGAGCCGACTTATTATTGCTGATTTGCTTAATATGTGATTGGCATTCGGCCAAGGTATTAGTCCCATAAGACTGTGTGTTAATCCGTTACTTTCCAATCAACACCTACCCATAAAAGTATGCTATTCCCAGGATATCCTCTAAAAAACAACAAAAAAATCTGCAAGCTCTGCTTAACTAGTAACTAATTAATAACTAAGTTAAGCTGTTAGTTTACTCACTCTCATTTAGATAGCTGAGTGCCGTCAATTCACAATTTTTGGACACATTGTAACGAGAGCTGCTTTGGCGTTTCTCCTTGCGCACCAGCGGCGTGCCGGTTAGGTTTAATCCCTTGGTGATCTGCGTTGGCGGTGGCGCATCCCGCGGTGGCGTACTATCCCTGTCTTTGTTAGCCTGAAAGAGTGTATAAGTATTAGCAAATCTTGGCTAAAGAAATTATATGACAGTTTTTGGTAGTAATAATTTTGGTTTCTTACTGAATAAAAACAAAACAAAACTTGGTAATAAAAGAAAGCAAAATGCATCAGATATTAAAAAGAATTCTTAACGTAACACTTGCAAAAATTACGAGTAGGCCTAAAGTAGAGATCATCCGTTGAAGTTCCCGTATCTCATCGCCGTTTTTTTTTTTTTTTGGTTTTTTGGTTTTTGTTTAAGAGCATTTACCTTGGTCTGCGCAAATCCTTGACGCCTAAGTCGCGCTGCCTGTGGGGTGTGTTTTAGGCTGAGTTTAGTAATGCCAAACATATAAATGTACTACACATTTGGGCTGGGAAGGAAGTTGGTTGGCTTTCCATTTACTATGTGGACTATATAGCTGTTAGCTACCAGGTACTACATAGGTAGGGATCGGATCATACTTGTATGTTATATTTGTACAAACATTTAGAAGTCAGTCACAAATTTGATCTAGGTTTTATTTTGATTATTTTTTGAGAAATCCTTTCTCTGTTCAAGTGCTTGCGGGGAGAGTGGTGCTCTTCTAATGCAGATATTGTACCCAAAAATAGGTCTAAAGGGTTCACTCTGGTGGCTATATTTTGTAAATATTTTATCCCTGGGCCACCGCCACCTAACGATTTTCATGCAATGTTTCTATAATCGATTATTAATATTTGTGATCCAGCGATTGATGGCGCTTTTGATTGATTCGATTTTGAATTTGATTTGTTATCCCAAAGCATTACACAATTGGCAACGTTTAGAGGCTAATTGGTGTTGGTCATTTGGCTTGTTCGGTCGGTGGGCGGGGGGAGGTGATGGGTGTTAAAACACACATCATTTGCAGCGATAAGATTAGATAAAGTTTGTTAAGGTTTTCGACTTTTCAGCAAAAGGAAGTATTGTGTACTTTATAGAGTGGGCATAACACACACATACATATGCACATATACACATCCATATACATATATAATATATATACATTGATTTAATAATTTACGTCAAATAACGGTTAGGCACAAGGCATGCGTAGAGGTAAGGTGGCGAGATAGGCAACACACAGAGAGAGAGAGAGAGAGAGTGTGTGTGTGTGTCAGAGTAGGAGAGTAGGTGGTGGTGGTGGTGGTGTGGTGTACACAATGCATTCGCTAGACACGACTCACCTCGCTGCTGATGGGTACACCGCCGCTGGTCACCACAAGGGGTATGGCTGACGTTGTAGTTGTTGTTGTTGTTGGTGTTGATGGTGGTGCTGCTGCTGCTTCTGTTGGTGTGGCTATTGTTGCTGTTGTACTAAAGTTACTGTTATTCTCTTTGATACCGTTAGTGGCTGATGTCGCTATGACTATGCTACCGCTGCCACCGCTGGTATCGGCGCTGCCGACACCGCCGCCGCTGCTGCTGTTATTATTGTTATTTGTGGCCGTTTCGGTTTTGGTGACTTTCGTCGTCGCTGGGGATAATGATTCTGCTGACGATGCTGCTGCTGCTGCCGGTGTCGCTGCTGCCTCTGATGTGGTTGCTGCTGACGATGCTGCTGCCGCTGTCGTGCTGCTCGTTGTTGTTGTTTCTAACGCCTCGTTATCCATAATACGCTGCTGTGTCAGCTTTAGCTCTGTTCCGATATTCCTTATTGCTTACCAAAAAACAAACCAACCAAAAAACATAAAATAACAAACAAATACAACAGCTGGGCCGGCCGAATCAATTGATTGCTATCTGAAAATTATATTTGCACTGTGAAGTGTCGGAAAGAGAGAAATTAACGTAGCAATTAACCAAAAGGAAACGAAATAAACACAATTAAATATCATGCTACAACATTCACGATACACGCACACACACGCATACACATACAAACACACATACGCTTTTGGTTGATTACCAATAAGAATCATGGCAATAGGTTTTTTTTTTTGTTTTTTTGCTTTATATTCTTATTCGAAACGTAAAATTTTCTGCTAACTGGATCACCACCGATCTCTGGCCAACTCGGAATGGCGGAAAACCGCTTCGAATCAGAACCCAAAGTTGTCACAAGAAGTCCCCACTGTGGCCGCCGCAAATTAATGCCCATGCCATGCCATGCTATGATTTTCTAGCAAACACAAAATCCGGTTCTAAACGGTAATAAACATGTTCTCAAGCTTCTTCCACACACAACATCATGCACTTGGTGGCCCGGTAGAGACTCCCAATGAGGGCTAAGAGGGCAGGTGTCGCCTTCGGGGCAGAGCTGAATCATTAGCTTCTGTCCCTTCATCGAACAACAATAACACAGTAATGAACAGACATTTTAATTTTTTTGCACAACTTACAGCAAAACGGAAATAAATAACAAAAATTCCATAACACACAGGCAAAAAAAGTCAGAATGAGAATCAGAAAACAGAGCAGAGAGACACACAGAGAGCGATACGGACGAGCAACAAGTTGCGAAGCAATGGCCGTCGTCGAATCAGAGTTGCCAGACAGAGTTGTCATGCGAGCGTGAAGAGCATTTTTTGGGGTGGTGGTGGTGGTGTTTGTGTGCGGAATAGCGGAGGATAGTGGACTGGTGGGGGGGTCGGGTGTGCTGGGATAGCATTCTTTAACACAAAAATATTGTTAAGCGCAAAGTTTTTCGTATACTCATACTTTTAGTGGCCCCCCTTAACCCAGAGAGAGAGAGAGAGAGAGCGAGCGAGAGACAGATAGTGAGCGCCGCCAGAGAGTAAAAATAAAATTAATGTGTACTATAATTAATAGTTTGGTTTGTGTTGTGTTGCAGCAAGAAACTCAATAAATAGATGGGTGCAAAAAGCAATATACTCAAATTGTGAATGTCAAGGGGTTTTTTTTTTGGTTTGGTATGGGATGGTATGGTGCTCTTGGGAGAGCAGGAAATCAGGGGGATCGGCTCTATTTACCGCCAGAAGCTGCAAGAACTTGTTCAATTTGCTCCTGCTGAGATTCAGGCTCGAGAACATCAAACTTATTGCTGATAAAAGCCGTTTCTTTACGTAAAAATGCGAATTCTAACAAAACGCACGCACACTCACACACACTCGCAAACACGTACGCACACACACTCTCGCGTTAATTCACTCGAGGCTATGTATTTGCGCTGCAATTTCTTCTGATTGCGATTTTCAAATGCGAAATTCACAAGCTCTCTCGCGAAATTTCGCACTTCACAGCACGGCGTACTATCAGCAGCGGGGTCAAGTTCACCTTTTCTTCAAGAACACACAACATCAACGGCTTGTTTAACTATATTTAATATTTTATGTAAACTGTTTTATTCACGCAACGTCGTCGAGCCTGCTCAATAGAAAATAGAGGTGCCAGGGCTGCCCACTCCATTTAGGGCTGCCAGACGCTCTCAAAATCCGATAGTTTCCACGGGAATTCTTTTCCCAGCTTTCGCATAACTATTATTATGTATTACAAATTAAATCTTGCTAGTTGGAGTCATTGGACTAACATAATTAAGCTTATTTGTGTCATTAAACCAGGGCGGCAACAACCGCTGTTCGGAGACGGCTCTGTAGATACAGCCAGGTGGCAGCACTATTGATTGTTGATATTGGCTGGTGGAGGCCGATGTTTTTATTTATTTGTAACAATAATTAAATCGTTTGGAATGCAGATTACAATTAAAGTTCTCAAGGGCAAGGACTGCACGCTCGAGGTGAGTGTCGAATAATAAACAAAAGTTGCCATGTATTTGTACTACTTTCCGCCATTTTCGCACAGGTCTTGCCGACCAACACCATTTTGGAGGTGAAGCAACAAATTGAGGCAAATTTGCAAATATCTGCGGCCAATCAAAAGCTACTCTTGCTGGGACGTCCTCTGAACAATGATCTGACAATTTCTTCGTATGCAAACATCAAGGACGGCACCAAACTCAACCTGGTGGTGATGAAGCCCTGCCTGCGCGACTGCATCCTACGCGGTTTTCGCAAATTCTACACGGAGCAGCAGGCGGAGCGCTTGACCAACGAATTCATGACCGATTTTGAAAAAAAACTGAAGGAGCATAGTCTGGACGACTTGGAGCGCTTTGCCGAGAGCACAATGGGCAAAGTTTCAACATAAACTTTATGCCCCAATTCAGCCACTTTCCTAGAACTCAAAGATTAACAAAAAAAATTAAAAACTGAAAGATGTCAAGACTTTTTTGATTATTTCTTACCCTGTAGTTGGACTCGCTGCTTCACCTTCAAAAACGGCCGGCTCCGGTGATTTTTGGCGATCTTGGAACACCTCGGACGTAACTGGAAAGCTTTCCCTGTTTTGATCTGCATTTTCCTGGGCTGCCTCTATCACGCGCGCATCTTGAGCGGGTATCGCTCGCGGACAGTGGCGTCCTTGTAGAAGGCACTGTAATACCACGTGGTCATCATTCTCCTGTTGGTCGCTTTGAACATGGATTGCAATGTCCGGCAGGTTCTCTATTAGCCTACTAAATTGCTGGAATGATACTGGAGGGAGAATACATTTTCGTATTGTTACCGTAAATGAGCAGCTGCCTCAGCCAGTGTTGGCAACTGCAACACAGAAACTATAAATATTACCTATTATCCAAGAAAAGAAAACAGCATTCAGGCACAGCATTACACCAGAGGAACGACTAAAGGTGACGACGCTCTTCTATTTGTCCACTGTTCGTATGCCATATATATTTGCTTGTTGTTTTTACTCCCGTCCAGCGTTGCCACCTGATCCGACCGCTGCAGTGTAACCATTGACAGAACCAGAGTGTGGTGCGAAGAAGAGCAGAAAAGAGAATGCGAGTGCTGTCGTGCAAATTTATTGGCCGTGTGGTTAACTCGACGCTGTCCAACGTCAATCAAGTTAGATCTTTGTCCAGAAATCTTCCAGCCATGGTGAAAGTAAGTAGTCGCCGCAAACATACCCTCCCCTCCGCCACACAGATGTGGATTACATAAGGCAGTAGTACCTTTGCATACAAATATTGATTCGGGGCGGAAGAGAATTGCACGGAATGTGCAGCGCTTCAAGGTTACGCACACTAACATTTCTTTCTTGTCCTCTATGCCTGTGTGTGTGTGATATTTTAGGTTGGAGATGCTCTTCCCTCTGTGGATCTCTTCGAGGACTCCCCAGCCAACAAAATCAACACCGGCGACCTGGTAAATGGCAAGAAAGTGATCATCTTTGGTGTGCCTGGTGCATTTACTCCCGGCTGCTCAAAGGTAAATTATTCCCCTAATAGAATATAAGCAAATATCGACGAATAATCAATATCATCAAATCGCAGACCCATTTGCCGGGCTATGTGAGCTCTGCCGCGGAGCTGAAATCCAAGCAGGGCGTCGACGAAATTGTCTGCGTGTCCGTGAACGATCCCTTTGTGATGTCTGCCTGGGGCAAGGAGCATGGCGCTGGCGGCAAAGTTCGCCTCCTGGCCGACCCAGCTGGTGGCTTCACCAAGGCTCTGGATGTTTCCATTGATCTGCCACCACTGGGCGGAATTCGTTCCAAGCGTTATTCGCTGGTCGTGGAGAACGGCAAGGTCACCGAATTGAATGTGGAGCCCGATGGCACTGGCCTCAGCTGCTCCCTGGCCAACAATATTGGCAAGAAATAATCACAGAGAGAAACAGCCAACTCGAAACGCTTCCAAAATACTTGCAAAAATCACTCAATTAGTAGGACTTTAGGCCTAGGGGAAATGATATCAATTCTATCTTGGAAAGAAACTATGTAGAACATACAATATATATGCGATTAGACAAGTTATCCTAATGTGTTTGCTTTAATATCTAGGGAGGGGGAGGGGGCCTTAGTCTTATCTCTATCTCTTAGGGCGCTAGCGGTTGTCGGTGTTGGGTGCAATCTTTAGCGAGAGCAATTTGCCATAACCGCCACGTCCGGCGTCGTAGTCTGTGCGATACTCGTCTCGCACCTGGCCGCCGGTTTTGCCGCGTCCATACTGACGGCCCTCAATGAAGCCGGCATCCCAGTCGACACGAATCAAACGATCGTCCAAGCGTGTTCCATTCACAAATCTGCACGAAAGATAAAATACACATATGCAATTTTATTGTTGTTGCTGTCTCCACAGACGCCTGCCTACCTCATGGCGGACTCCGCTTCGCTGCGGATGTAGTATTCCACAAAACAGAAGCCGCACGGTGTCTTTTTGTATTTGTCCAGGCCCATTACGATTAGACGCACATCGCCGCACCGGGAAAACAGTTCGTGGATTTGTTCCTCCGTCGTGTAGAAGCTCAAATTTCCCACGTAAAGTGTGCAAGAATCTTTTAGAGAGCGCTCTTGCTCCGAACGTGAGCCCTTTGGGATGGCAAAAATTGTACAAAGAGGTTCCATGCACTACGAATGAAACGTACCTTGAAGTGCTGATCGCGGTAGGAGCTTAATTCTACAGATGTTGCCATATTTAAAGGTAAAATTAAAATTTAAAAAAATTAATATTTTTTGTGCCTGTCTATAGAGGTGAGAGCTATGCGATAGGTTTTTCCGATGCCAGCAATTCTGGTATTTTCGATAGTTTGACAATCGGACTAATTTGTTTCGATAGTGCAGATATGGTTTTTGCAGCCCTCTTGCTGCTCTCACAGTCTTGGAAGTGAAGAATTTTAACGCAGTTCAGGTGAAAGATAACGAAATCATTTACAAGGAACATATACAAATAGTATTATGTTCTGCGGTTTAACCCAAGGTTTTTACCTGTTGCAATAGATGGGGGCTAAGTGGGTTAAGTTCTTTTTTCCACAGTATATTTACGGTATATACTGCATATTTCAGTATATTTCCGCTCCCAGTTCTTGGCTCGTTGTTATTATTAAATTTATGGGTATATTTCGTACTTAATGCAAAATTCAATCAATTCGGGAGGCAACAAGCGTCAGCTGCGATTCCGTGGCGATGTCAGCGGTGCCAGCAGTCGCGTGGAGGAGCTCCAACACCTCCAAGAAGAGAACAGACAACAGAAACCAAAGCAGCTGCCGCTCTCCCAGGATGACGTTGCAGCGGCGACGGCAGCGTCGTCGGCAGCACAGCAGCGACTTCAAAACGGTAAATATTATTCATATTGTGGCGATTCTCATTCACAGTGATCCACGTGGATATTTCAGGTCCCACTGAGACCGGTGCGAACACCTTCCTGGACTTTTTCAAAGTGGAAATGACACGCGGCTACATGCTGGAGCATGACGAGGAGCGGTATTCGGCTCGCCGCCAGAAGATCTACAGCTTCATGAGGATACCGCGCGACCTGGAGCGTTTCATGATCTATGGGATAATGCAGTGTGCCGATTCCTTTTTCTACATACACACATTTCTGCCCGTGCGCTTCGTGTTGGCCGTCTGGGCACTGGTCACAAGGACAGTGGCAAGGATTTGCCGACTGCGCAGCAGTGGACAGCGTTTACTGTCACCCGCCGAGATCTGTGATCTGCTCAAAGGTGCCATCTGGATAACAGTGACGCTCTTGATGCTGCTCGTGGACACGAATCGGGTGTATCACATCATTAAATCGCAATCGATTATTAAGCTGTACATATTCTACAATATGCTGGAGGTGGGCGATCGTCTGCTGTCGGCCTTTGGCCAGGATACCATCGATGCTCTGTTCTGGACGGCCACCGAACCAAAGAATTCCAAGCGGGAGCACTTTGGTTCCTTTACGCATGTTATTTTAACCCTCACCTATGTGTTTCTACACAGCGGTCTAATCATGTTTCAGGTGGGTTCTACAGATACTTCTCTATCTTTTTTATTGACTTATTTTTGTGTTGCAGGCCACCTGCCTGAATGTGGCACTCAACTCCAACAACAAGGGCCTGCTGACCATTATGATTTCCAATAATTTCGTGGAGCTCAAGGGATCTGTTTTCAAAAAGTTCGACAAAAACAATCTGTTCCAGTTGACCTGCAGCGATGTGAGGGAACGTTTCCATTTATCCATACTACTGTTTATTGTGATTATTCAGACGATGAAAGAGTTTGACTGGAGCTTCACGCAGTTCTATGTGATGGTGCCCGACTGCATTGCGGTGCTGTTCACCGAAATACTCATTGACTGGGTGAAGCATGCCTTTATCACGCGCTTCAATGAGCTGCCCGAGAGCATCTATCGAGAGTATACGACCAGTCTCGCCTATGACATGACCCAGACGAGGCAGAAGCATGCCTTTTCGGATCATTCAGATTTGGTGGCACGCCGCATGGGCTTCATACCATTCCCATTGTCAGTGGTACTGATCAAGGCTATTTATACGGCCGTTTCCTTTCACAATCTGGCTGCGTGGCTGCTCTTTCTGCTGGCCTATCTGTTTGCCTTGGGTCTGAGGATTTGCTTAACGATTTGTGCCCTGGGCAAGGCCTGCAAACTGATGAAGGAGCATCAAACGGAACGCAATAGTTCCACGCCAAGTAGCATGACTAATGTGCCTTTTGTTGGCGGCACAGCCGGCAGCTCCTCGATGACTGGACAGCCATTCCATCACCCCCATCCGAACCACAATAACAATAACAACAACAACAACAACAGCATTGCAAGCAAACCAACAGCAGTAGCCAGCGCGACGACCATTATGTTGACCCCACCAAATGCTGATATGAGTCACGATTTCTCACGCGCATCGGTGCAGTCCACGTCCACACCCAAGAAGGCCGTCAGCGAACAGGAGCTGGATGTGACCAACTCTCTGGAACTGGGCGCCACAGCACTCTTCTACAACAGCGATGTGGTTCTGGACGATGTGTGCCTCAACGAGCAGGTGACCAACACCAATATCAGTTCTGCCATCCAAGAAGTCTACCAGGAGCAGGATCTGGCACGCAGCCAGCCAGATCTGCTGCAACTCAACAATTCTGGCTCATCCGGTGGTGAGGCATCCAACAGCAGCAGCAGCAGCAGCAGCATGATGGCCAAGCAGGCGGCGAAGCGTCCGCCCAAGCGCACACACAAACGCTCCGAATCGGAGCCGCTCATCCAGAGTCTGGCCGAAAAGTCAGGCGCATCTGGCGGGATGTCTGGCAGCAGTCAAACGACACAGCTCTAGCCATAAATCGATGCTAAATTATTTGTTTCTTGATTTTATCGTTCATTTAGTTGCGTCTTTGTTCATTTTGTAAAACAATTTAGTTGCCGTTTTTGTAATAGAAATATGTACGTAAGGATAAGCGATATGTATTTAGTTTATTAAGGAAAATATGATTTTAATGTTCCCCAAAGTCAATCTCATTTTTTTCTGCTTATTTCTGTGAATAATACTCAATAGAATGGCAACCAAAACGCACTTAGCACAAGAAGTGAACATACAAACAGGCCTGATTCTGGTGCCAGGGGGAATCGTGCAAACTACTAGGCTCTGGCCTTTGAGCTCTGGCATGTGAGCTCTTCAATCGCTGGCTGCGAGACCTGTGGACATTGTGGTGTGGTGGCGGCATTGGCAAATGATAAGGATCCAAGGAACCAAGGAACCATTTGTGATTTAAAATGCAATTTTGTGCGTGAAGGGATTTTATTTTAGTATATCTAGGACATTGATAGATACACACACATGGATTTATACAAAATAAATTTGGAGTCGCTGAAGGACAAGGTGGCCAGCGGCTCCATTCAGCTGAAGAACTGGCAGGTACCCAATCGCGTCGAAGGCGAGCTGAGACCCGCCAGAGCCGGAGGAGATCAGCGATTAAAGGAATTAAAGGAACCTGCAGGCATACGGCTATAATTTAAAAGATAGTCACTTAAATATACGAATAATTAGCAAGTGAGATACCAAGATACTTACTTCATCATGCTGGTTTCGTCCTCTCATCCCTGGCATAGTACTCCGCTCGGGAAAAAAGCTAGGGACGGGAAAGGTAGGCATTCGAAAGACCACTGACGGAGTTCACATGCTGCTCCCACTGACGGACCAACTGAGGGAACCACTCACGGGACCCGTCCCTACAATCGGATTAGCAGGAGAACACCAATGGGGAGCCGGTGACTGAACTGAATTCAGAAATGACATCCAAAACGATTCAAACAGCGAGGCTTACTTAGACCCAAATAAATTTGTTTATATTTATAATGCTTCAAGCTGTGGTTCTTGTCACAAACACCTGTGGTTTTTATAATCGCTTATGTGCAAGTGTTTGATATCGGCTATCGATTTAGCTTCGTATATATTTGAGCTTTCGATAGAAGGGTTCAGGACATCGTTTATTGCTTATCTAGGAAATAAATTGAAAAGTGGCTATCGATTTATTAGTGTTCGATGTTTCTGATATCGTTTATCGCTTATCCAGGCAACGAATTGAAAATAGTTAATCGATTTTTCTTATCGTTTATGAGTAAGCATTCGATAAAAGGTTTCCAATCATTTTGATGGGTATTCTTTATTTTTAATGAATCTGAAACTACAGAGGTAACCATTAAAAACCATGAAAATCCGATTAATTTAATTATTCATGGCGGCACATGGCAAAACATTTACGCTAATATTTTATTAGCATTCTTCGTAACCTTTGGCCTTATGCTTACACCAAAAGACTAAGCTACGCTTCCCCCATGTTCAGGCTTTGGAAAAGTTTACACACAAAAATCCCCAGGGCGAAAATTGCTTTCAGCTTAGCGAGAAATTATTCTCCGAAAATGGTTATTATTGTTGTGGTTTTTTTCTTTACCTGTCCCCTCCCTGTCTGTGGGTTGGCGCTGGAGGTGCCTTTTTTGGGTTTTCATGAATGAAAATGGTTTCCCGCTTTGTTTGCGTTTGCACGCGTAGAAAAATCAACAAGCTGCAAATAGGGAGAGGCGCGCCGCCTAACCCACTTCCGCAAAACAGAGTTCTGGCACCGAATCCACCCTCCGGCTTGCCTAAGATGACACGCGCGTGCACGCACAAGGACGCAGCACACTCCCAGGCAGAGCCGGATGTACAGTATGTATGCAGAGGGAGTTACGCTCTACCTATGGGGCGTTTCGTTTTTATGAATGAAATTTTACGCGTGACCTTGGATCAAGCGCATCGCGCGGTTGCGTCAGTGCCCTGACAACAGGGGTACAAAAGCACACACACACTTTCGAAGAGTGGACCCCCTTTGGGAGCCATGGGCCAGGGCGCATGCTCACCAAATATTTCGAAAATATTACCCCTGTAATTCGCCAGCGCCTGGCTATTTTTCATTCATGAAAATTTCCTGCTAATTTCATGAATGGCTCTCTGTTTTCTCTTTGCTTTCAAGGACACGCCGCTCCCGCAACGATGGCGTCCTTATTGATTTTCCCTTTCGCATTTCGCAGCTCAGTTCACATTTTCCACATTCGCTTTTCTGCGTAGGCGAACCAAAAGTTGATACCATACCCTACCCCTCTGCGTTGGGTTAAATGTAACATTTTTTTTTTTTGTTCTTTATGCGGTTCGTCGCATTTAATGTCGCGCTTGAATGTGGGCTGCTCCTGTGGGTTGAAAACCTGCACAAATTGGGCAATGAATTATTGTGGCCATTAGGAAGGATTTCTTGCATAATCCTATTTGGGGGAGTAGCGGCAGGAGCAGCAGCAGCAGCAGCTCAAAGGTATGTGACTGTGCTGTGGGTTGGCTTGAATGTTTTTCTGCATTACAAAATTATTGTGCATCTGCTTTTGTAAGGGAATTTGAATGGAATTGTAAAGGAATCTCTGGTTTACGGGGCGTATGCGCATTATTTGCGGGGTATTACATTTTTCTATCATGTGTGGGAAGTTCATTAGCTGATTGTGTGCTCTCCTTTGTGTGCCTATTATTTTTTAATTGCATACAAATAATTTTATGCATTTATCATCTCGGAGACGATGCCCCGAAATGTTGCACGGATTGGGGGAATCTAAGGAACTATGCAAATTATTGACTTATCCATTAATTAAATAAATATAGTCGATATGCTCTGTTCGAGGTGCAATCAGAGCTTTAAAATATTTAAATAAATTACCAAAAATATAACTTAAATAATATCTAAGTCTATGCATCACTGTAGTCAAGAAATTTAGTATTATAATCGGAAATAAACTTGTTAAGCTACGTTTAGGGTGCTAAAAATCCGTGTAACAATGCAATAAATTCTTAAAAGTAGAACTTTAATTATTTTTTTTAATATCTTTAGCTTCTATATTCAGATTTTGTATTGGTATAAATTGTATACAGCACTGAAACTCTGAACAAAGACCATAATCAATTGCTTTCTCAGATTTAGTACAGCAAACAAATACATTTAATTTAATAACTAATTTCCTTCTGTTCTTAAATATTAATGCCCATGAGATGCAAAAACTTTGGCAAACTTTATGCCACCATCAATATTTATGGGTAGCATTCGTTGCCTTGATTGCATATCAAATGTGTGTGTGCCTTGGGTCAATACTCGTAGTTTTGTGGTAGAGCCACAACAAAGAGGAAGAGAGAGGAGAGCAAATAAGAACCTTTCAATATCCGGCCGGCTGATGCTGCTTGGCATGCGTTAAAAATAGCCTTGAGAAAGTCAAGACCAGGGAGAAAGAGTCCTATATATGTATGTACGATACACAGCCATCCAAAGGAAAGTGAACGCGTAGTTTTATGAATGAAAGCAGGCAGGCAGTCAGGCAGTCAGAGGCAGGCACCGCACCCAGTACGCAGCACAGCACCCGGCAATGGAGCCAGCCAGCAGTTGCAGGGCAATGCTTCACCTTGCTCTTGACTGCCGTTTTACCCCATAATTTATTGATTTTCTTTTTGGGGGGCATGCGCACTGGCTAGAGCACCCAGCTTCACCTTCACCAGCTCCGACCCCGGCCAACAGGCCACACAGCTGCTTATCTGTGACACATTGTCGTCAATGGAACAGCTCTCTCTTACTCACTCTCTCTCTTTGCACGATGCACCCCCCCGAAAAAAGACTGTTGCTTTTCCACTGACGTCATAGGAGAAAGAAAGGCAGACTTTAATTAGAGAGCGGTACAATAAAATGATATGGGGGGAAAAAGGCGTATGAAATGGTTTAGAGGTTCATGCGGTGATCATGAGAGAATTCACGGAACCAGTGATAGCGTTCGAGGTGCTGCTGCAGCGTCTCCCCAAGCACATACAAGCGCACGGGCATATAGTCCGTATCATCGTCCGAATATTCATCCGAGCGTTCATCTTCATCCCCATCAGAGTACTCCTCGCTCGACAGCAAGACATCAACGACAATGAGGCAGTGCAGCAGGTAGATGATGCTGCAGACCAGCGAACACACCGCCTGTGAGCGTAGATAGGCAAAGAACGGATGCACCGGCTTCTCCGGCATATTCGGATCCATCATGTTAATGTACATCAAGTGGAAATCCATTTCGGCATCCTTGAGCGTCATCAGCGAAATAATCACATACAATATGCAGCCGGTCATTGAGCGTATGATCTCCTCCATAATGCTGGCCTTGTTGCCCGAGCACACATTAATGCTGGCAAAGATTGTCAGCACGGTGAAGATATACAGCGTGATTGTGTAGAAGTAGTGCGTTACTTGGTCCCTTATGGGCAGGAAGCTCAGATCCTCTGCCATGAAACCGCGTATATGGAAGCCCATCAGCATCATATTGACCATCGTTTCGGCGGTATAAAATAGGAACAGTACTGGCCGCATCGTATATACATATGTATATATGTATACCTCTATATCTGACAGACCTGGCACGGCACGCGTCACAGTAAAAGAAGGCAGCTTCATATTTTTATGATGCTCCCCAGCTCTCGAATGCTGCTGTCACTGGCTGTGTGTGTGTGTGTGTGTGTGTGTGTGTGTGTAGTCTGTCGCTGACACATTCGTCGTCAATAAGCCCTCTCACGTCATAAGAACTGCCAGTACTCAGAAAGAAAACAAAACCTAAAATAAGAGGAGGACTCCAAGGACAAGCCACATACTCGTACGAATTACATGCACGATTAGACGCTCATGCGTCCGCCATGCGAGAATTCACGAAACCAGCGATATTGTTCGAGGCGCTCCTGTACATAGGCACCACAAAAATATAAGCGTACGGGTATGAAACCAATATCCTCCCCGTCTGATTCATCGGATGTGTCATACATTCGATAATCGCCCTCCTCATACGACAGCATTACGTCAACGACAATGAGACAGTGCAGCAGATAGATGATGCTGCAGACCAGCGAATACACCGCCTGTGAGCGTAGATAGGCAAAGAACGGATGCACAGGCTGCTCCGGCAGATTGGGATCGCCCATGCCAATGTACATCATATGGAAATCATTCTCCACATCCTTGAGCGTCATCAGCGAGATAATCATGTACAATATGCAGCCAGTGAGCGTGCGTAGGATCTCCTCCAGCAGCACCGACTCGTGGCCGGTGCACGCACCAATGCTGGCAAACATATTGAGCGTGGTAAAGACATAGAAGGTGGCCGTATAGAAGTAGTATGGGGTTTGGTCCTTCGGTGGCAGGAAGCTCAGATCCAGCGACATGAAGCCGCGTATATGGTAGCCCATCAGCATTATGTTGATCACCGTCTCGACGGTATAGAACTGGAACAGTACTGGCCGCATCCCATGTACACATACACATCTATGGCAGTAATTTCTATAGCAGTAGTAGCAGCAGGGAACTCCTCCACTGGACAGATCTCGCACAGAATGTTTGACAGGGTCCGACACGGCACCACACCACACGACACTACACGACACGACACGCTTTTGTGTTTGTGGGTCCGTCTCGTCTCGTCTCGTCTCGTTTCAGTTTGAAAGTGCTGCCTGGGCTCATCATAAAAAAAAAACCCACTTCACATTTGCTGCTGCTTCTGGTGCTTCTCTGTCTCCAAGTGCCGCTGCCGCTGCCGTTGTCGTGGTTTGCTGGAAACAGTAGCAACATTTTCTTGGCAGTTTGATGCTGTTGACTGCTGTTGACGGCGATTATGTTGATGACGCGAGAGACCGCAACGAATTTACGCGCAATTCTCCACCGTGCTTCAGCTCAAGTGTCGAGTAAGCATTTAAATAAACGTACAAACATACGTCCATAAAATGTGGCGCCAAAATGTTAGTATGCCAAGGCTTGGCTTCTGAATTGAGTTCCCCCCCATCATCGATATCTGCAACAGGAAATCTTAATTAAGACTTTCTTATGATTTTTCGCACCGAATACAAGTAATTTCTTTATATTTTTCGTGAAATTCGCCTGCAAAGGTTGTTGACATTTAAATAGTGCTCCACAACGTTCAACAGCTTCAAAGCTGTTTGCCCATTGGTAGTAGGAGTGCTGTACAACGTTTTTTGGCATATCCTAATTAATAATTATCCTAATTATTGTATTGTTGACACTAATGCCTCTTTGTCCGCCATTTTTCGCCAGTCGCGATTCGCTTAAATTATTCTGTGTGTCTAATATTTTCGCATTGGGGTAAATTATTCTTGGCCAAAAACACAGAAGCCACACTTGCAGGCAACCAAAAGAAAAATACAAATCAGTTTCTGTTGCTTCTGGGCTGCTGGCTGCCTCCTCCTTCTGTAGTTTGTGGTCACTGGATTGCCCATTGCCATCTGCCAGCGAGTGTGTGTGTGTGTGTGTGTGTTTGCGCGCAAAGTAAAAGGGTTAATTCACTTGGCCACAGCTGAGGAAGGAACCTTTTCGACTGCGTCATCTCTTGTGGCTTCTTCGTCGGTCGTGCGTGGGGGCGGCGGTGAGGAACACCGGTGGCTGCTGCAATTTTGACAAGCGAACAGCGTTAAGCGAGTTTAAGTGGTTGCCGAGGAGCGAGCCACAAAGGCTTTTCGTCTTTGCCTTTATCCCTCAGTCGAAATTCCAGGGATCACAAATGAGAGAAGGCAAGAAGAGGCCCCCCCCTGTCGTCATTCGTCTCCTGCACAGTAGTCACTTCTCCGCCATCAAGTTGAACTTAAGCGCGTGTGTGCCCCTCTGAATGTCCCTTCGCTGCATAGTCGGTTTATTTCGAGTGCGTTCGCGAGTGCATTCGACGGCCATCTTGAAGCATTCGTGCGTGTAATTAGGCCTAGAACTAAACATAACCTCAAAAAAGTAGACCTTACATTCATCAAGGAGCGAAAATTATGAAGAAACGCCCAAAATAAGGTAAGTCAGAACAAACAATAATCCTAAGAATATTTAAATGCAATAATCGTATTGAGAATCAGCATGCGCCCTCCCCGCCCCTTGCTCTCACAATTAGGAGAGCCTAACCTCTTATGTAATCTGCAAATTGCTCGCGTTACGCCCCTGCCAGGGGAGGGCCATGGCAGCCGGAAAATGCGCCATTGCATACATACAGCTAAATGCAAGTGCATAAATAACAATTATTGCGGCGCTGCAGCAGCAGCAGCAGCAGCAACAATAATAGGCACGGGCAACGCTCTCAGGTGTCAATTGTGGGGCTCTGCAACGTGACCGGCGGCCAAAGCGCATACACTGATCGCCATATATCGGCGGCATATAATGCCCGTTGATTATTATGTTTACACTTGGCTTGCAGTTATGCTGGCCAAGATATTGCTGATGCTGGTAGTCCCCCAGTAATGATCCCCGCCCGGCCAAAAAGAAATCTCAATGCAAATCAACGGCAATTAATAATTCATCGCCCGCTGGGGTCTCCTTCCATGGCGCGTCATGGCAATTATGCGGCCCAGGTCGTGAGAGCGGTGGAGAGAGTGGGACACACATAGAAGCTGCAAGCGTAAGGAAACGGTAATACAATGCAAGTTAGAAAACTGTATGTGCAAGTGAGAGGGTGGATATGCAGGTTACACAGACACACAGACCCATACAGCTGAGAAGAGAAAGAACCGTTTAGTTGGTGGTGACAAATCTATGCGAATTTTGGTATTTTTTTTGGCAAAATGCGTGGGTGGGAAGTGATCGATAGTTAAATGGTGTTGTAAAGTGCAACAATTCAAATATCAATAATGGAAAAAGCGGGATTTTGGAAATTGAAATTTGAAATTTTTGAAAACCATTTGAATAACTTTACAATCCGCCCTCGAATATCAAACTAAATCTATTCCTATATTCAATAAAATAAATTTAATATGCAAAACAGCCGGACAACAGCAATGGCTACAGCAGCGGCAGTACAAACTGCTCCAGTGGCCCGCCTGTCGTCCAATATCAGCAAATTTGCAATAAAATATTTGTCTGGCCGTCGCGTTCCGTTTGGTATGAGTGCTGGGGTCCACATATATGTATGTATCGAACGAGAATACAAGAGGTAGGCCAAACAGTGGGTCGTCTAGTGGTCGCCGCCTGGTGGCCGTCGCGGCTACTGCAAATTATTTATTTGCACCTTTCGCCGCCATCGTCTGACTGGCCTCTCCTCTATTTCCTCTTCCCTCCCTCCCAACTTCTGGCTCCCGATCGAACCGCTGCTGCGAACTGCATTTCCATTTGCTTATCAAATCGCTTGCAATCGACCGAGTGAGAAATGCAGGGCAAATATAAATATTAGCTGGCTGGAATCGGCTGCCACAACGCGAGACGGTACGCGCGGAGTTGGTGGGGGGGATCTAAGACTGGCGTATGAAATTAGGCGCTGCCAATGCGCCGCCAGCCATTCCCGACCTGTCCGATATATGAAAAGTGTGAAAACGAATTAGTGGCCAAGGCGAGCTCGAGCTCAGGGAACTGGAAAGGAAAGGAAAGGAGCCCCGTCCCGATTGAAGGAATTGAGGGCTGTGAGATCGCCAAAGTTATTAAAGACTTGTATGTAGAGATTTCTTAGGAATTTCAATTTTAAAACTCTTGACGCTACTTAACACTCTTTTACCGCTTTATTTGGCCATCGAATAATCGTAAATAGTTCGATAGGCATCGATTAAAATACTTCAAAGATCGAATTTCCAGTTGTTTCACAACTTTTCAATCGAACTTTTCCCCCTCCCCACCCCACCCAACCCATTAATTTATTGCCGCTCTTCGATCACAACTCTTCGTCTTCGAACTACTTTCAACACACATGTCGCTTGTTTACCGACGCAACGCCGCGTCGGATCGGGTCGGTCGTGCTCCACAAATGCCAACCCAGAGAGAACCAGAGTTAAATTGTCACTTGCACATGGGCGCCCAATAATTATAACAATGGGTGGGCCCCCCAGCAAATAGACGACAACGATAGACGTAACCATGGAGCTGTAAACTGCATCATGTTCACAAATTTGTTTGGCATTCCGCCGCGGCGGGGCAGACTGACAAAATGCACCAAAAAAAAAAAAAACCCAAAACTGAAACGCAGCCTAGACGCCACGCCGTTTTTTGGACATATTGTCCATACCGTAGTCCGTCCGTCCGTCCGTCCGTCCGTACGGCTTCCATCGTCACATATGACAAATTTTGTTGTTGAAAATCGTGTAGCTGTGCTCTGTGTGTTGCGTGTGTGGCTTTTGGGGTAGGATAGGATAGTGCGTGGAGTGGCGTGGCGTGGCGCATGCGTGGAGTCGGTGACTATGACAAATCGCCACATGGCAGGCGGCCAATTAGCAAGAAGAGAGAAGTCCAGTCCCAGTCCCAGTAGTAGAGACTGGTTTGGTTTCGATGTGCCACCTGATAGACTGAAGATAAATGATGCCCCAAAGGCAACCCAGGCTGAGCTTCTTTATTCTTCAGAGCAAAAAACACTTATGTTTTGGACTCTTTGGCAGGCGTAACATTGATGGGTGGGTCCTTGAACAAGAACTGAACATGCTGCAGCGGATTGTAGTCCTTTTTGAAGCGCTCCACTTGCAGCACATCCACGCGATCCGACCAAAAGTTGCGAAACTATAAAGACACAACAAATATAACAATTATGAAAGGGAGAGATCCCTAACAAAAAGCTCTACACACATTCTTCTTATATGCCTCCCAAATGTCGGGCGATCCCTTGAATTTGATTTTCAACGAATGCGATTTCTTTTCATGGCGTCGCAACTTGTAAATATTTTGTAGCAATTCCTCCGTCAAGCTAGGGCAATCGATAAACACAAGCTGCTTTAGCTTTGTGTTGGCTTGAATAAAGTCCAAAATTTGGTCATCCATCAGATTCGAACAGTGGCAGAAGACGGCATGCTTATAGGTGACAGGCAGGCCCAGAGCCAATATATCCTGATTGCCAAAATTGCAATCAATCAGCTCCAGGCCATCCATATAGCGGCAGCGATTGAGCCGGAATGGTATCAGGTCTTGGGCGCTGTTCATGAAACTGCAATTCAAACGAAATATTCTCAAATGATTTTCTCGCTCACGAATAATCTGCCATAAGGTCTCCATTGTTTCCTTGGATTCGGCGAGTTTTTTAATTTCCAATATATGAAGTTTTGGCAGTTGAAAGATCTCCTCTTTGTTGGCCTGAAATACAGCCTGATTCAGCATTAGATTTTCCATTTGTGTGCACTGCGAAATGCCCTGAAGATCGGGTGAATGAGAGCCCACAAAATGTAGCACTTTTAGGGGCAAGCCACGCGACAGAATGCCCTTGAGCACCCAGTTCTCCACGTGGCCATGAAAACGCAGCTCCTCCAGCTGCCTGAACTGTTCAATAAAGCACACCTCCAGCGGCGAATGAATCTCCAGATAACGTAGATTCCGCATCAGCGGGGGCAATGCATGAAATGGCCACTGAGGGAATGTGGTGGTTCTGCGTTGCATGACCGTGCCCCATGTAATCACACAGCGTTTGACATTCGGCAGTTCCCTGATGCCCGCCTGATCCAGGACATTCATCTCGTCCTGCAACTGTTGGCTGCGAAAGTGTGCGCTGCGAAAGTCCTCAAACATTTTCTGGATAAATGTCTGCAGATCAGAGCCACGCAACTTGAGCTCCATCTTCTGCAGATCCAGACAATTGTATTCACTCTTCCAAATGGCATTGCAGGCATCGGGCACATTCTTGTAGACTCTGCCCAGTATCACCTGCTTGCTAACGTCCAGCTTTCTGATGATCGTCTGCACTTCGGCCAGTTCCTTTTGTTCCGTTGGATCGCCGGATCGCTGCCCCTTTGTGAGCATTAATTTGTTCGTTGCTGGCATAATTATAGAATGATTATTATATTTTGTTCCGATTGTGTTTTGTTGTGTGTTGTTTTGTAACCCTGAAAATTGACATAAAGTTAAACAAAAAATAAGTGTGGATTTAGCAAGTGAGTGAAATAGTTTATAATTGCTACTGGGTTATGTATTTTTGGGGGGAGACAGTGAGGGTTTTTTTTTCTGGTTTTTGTTCGTGTTTTGATTTGCCACACCTGACATTTTACCGGACAATCTCTTGACTGCTTGACTGCTGTTTGTGGCTATAATTTCCATGCCATACTCTCGTATCGGATATCGCTCGATCGTTTGTAGTAGTTCTAATGGCTATTGGATTGCTTTAACCACCCTGCTGCGATCAAGCAACTAACGAGCCATCGATATGTTTTCATTTCAAACTGATTTTTGTTTTATGGCACCCCAAGGCCCAGGCATGGGGTCGCCTACAAATCGACGGGGATACAGCATCAGCTTTCCAGGTGCATTTCCAGGTGCTGCTCGTGGCAGGCGGCACTGCTTGAACCTCTCTCTCTCTCACTCTCCATCTGTCTTTGCCCAAAACTCTCTCTCTCTCTCTCCTTTTCGGTGCTCTCTGCTAATGAGCCGCCAAGTTGTTTGGGTTCTTATTTATGGCACATCTTGGGCCTTTGTTTCCAAAACATTTTGCTTTGGCATCAATTAAGCGATTGGGTGGAAGCGATCTCTTTCTCTACCAAAAAAAAAAACAAGTTTCATCATCCAATAGCAGTGGAAAAACGTACAAAGAAACTAGTTACAAAAATATATGAAAATTGAAATGTTTCATTAAGATTTTTCAACAGCTTTAGACGCAAGTTAATTAAATTTTTGTCTCGGTTTAAAGTTTTTTTTTTTCTGACACTTTGGACACTTGCCGAGGAGGTTGGAAAATGCTTTGCCATTGGGTGGTTCCACATCTCAGATGCGGATGGGATTAGCTTTGGGGGGGATCTTTGCTGCTGTGGCATACAGGCGACAAAATGTTTCGCTAATGAAGTGGCAAATGAAATTTGTGGGAGCTGTTTGTTTCACCTTTTTGCTTGGAAATATATGCGAATAATCCTAGAATCTAAGCATTCAACAAGTGCTTAACATTTTATATATCTCTCTCATTTACGTTTAACATGAGAAACACACAAAACACAAAGCATTTATTATGGCCACGTCGGGTGGGCCAACAGCACAAAACATAGCTACAGATACAACAGCAGTAACGTAGATACATAGCTACAGATACAGCTATAGATAGTTGCCTGCTGCTGCTGCCTGCTTGCCCACATTTTGGGGCGTTTACATATGAGTTTTTTTTTGTTTTGTTTTACTTTTTGCTTTGAACTCGTTTAAATGTCGGAAAGTATTTTTTTCTGTGGTTTGATTTTTCTGCCTCCTTTTTTTTTTGCTGGCATTTGTGTAAATATTTTAATTATTTTGTTGAGGCAACGCCCCTTGAAATATTTGTAGATTTCCTAACTTCTTGATGTGATTGAGGATTCTGGCAGAGAGAAACGATTGGTTTATACCCTCTGTAGATCATCGGTGTTTTATTATTTTCCGATTTATTATTTATATATTAATTTCTTTCAATTTTCTTTGGATTTCGTTGAAATGCCTGCCGTTTATTTCTTAACAATCAACGCCATAAAAAAGTCTGGTATGACACGACAATCCCAAGTTCGCATTCTTCTTCTTTTGAGGGACCTGCAACGATGCTTTCTCATTAGCGGCTCATTAGTATGGCCAATTGACGCCTCCATGGCTGTCTACTCCATGGCTGGCTCCACCAAGGTGGCATTCAGCTGCGGAAAGAGGAGGTACACCTCGTTTGCGATGGACGATAGTGGGGCCAAAGGGGAGTCAGGGTGTACAAAAGCTGATTACAATGCGCAGCCAATCAACCCAGAGGAATCCTCTGGCTGGTCTTTTGAGGCTGCAATTATTTGCACGCAAATAAACAATTCAAAACATCTGTGGGGCGTTTATCACTGGCTGGGGCCTCGGTGGCACGGCCTGTTGGCGTTTAATTTTACGGCTTTATTAGCAGGGGCTCGCTCGAGCCATGCCCGGTAATTTGACGGGCCCCCAGGGCTACCCACCTGGCATTCAGCATTTTGAGCTACTGTCCGACCATCCAACGGCGCAAATGAAATGAGTTTCTGGCCCGTAGAAGCGTAGAAGTGTGTCTTCAATGGCGGCAGGGGCTTGTGTTTGTGGATGAGGGGAAGTTGCATTTTAATGTCTTAAGAATTATGTTTTTCTTTTTGTGGGAAGTTCTTGTTAAAATTAAATAGAACAGAAGCATCTGATTGATATGCGAGTTAATTACAACCGAAATTTGAATATTTTACCAGGAGAATCTTTTGGTAAATTTAGTTTATTTTATTTCCAAAATCTTTTTAACATTCTACCTGCTTTAAGGACATTCTTTCTGGTCACTGAACCTTTGTGCTTGGCAGTTTTAATGGTACGCTTTGTTTTAAAATAAGTTCCTGAGACTTAATCACACATCTTTTGCCACTGCACTTCAATCACTTTGCGTTATCAATCACGTTGTATCTACCGAAATTTCTGGTGCCTTTTTTGCAGCCTGCGCCACTCGTTTAGTTTTGATTTATGCACTCAATTTCTGTGTGCTGTTAAAACCTGTAGGAATGTTAAACCGGCAGATTATGAATCGAAATGAAATGTTTGCTGGGAGGGGCATTCAATTGCGTTAGTTTATGCCGAAAGAAAACCACATTCAATAATAATAATAATGATAGCAACTGTAAGCGCATCGCTCTATGGATTTTATGTGCAAAATGCAAACAGATCCTCTCATACACAGCAACAGAACACAAAACAGAGAGGCAAAAAACCGGACTCAGGCGGGGCCCCCACAGACGCAGTCTCTTGGGTGGGGTGGGATGGTATGGAAGGGCAGGGGAAATGTCTAGCAGGCGTCTGCGTGTGGCATTTATGTCCAACTGTCAGCCGTAGAGATGACAGGCTTTAAGACTGGGTGACAATGTTGCCCTGTAGGACACGAGCACTTGGATTGGCTGGACAGGCTCTCCTTTTTCTGCAGACCCCTTGGTGGCAGCCTCCCCGTCTCTCCGATGGATCTCCCCCTTGAGGCTAATTGCCATTTACACCTAAAAGCTGCAATCAAATGTGATACCTTTCTGATTCTTGGACTAATTTGGGAATGAAATGAAATGTAGAAAATTATGGCTCGACTTGGTGGATGCCCTGGAAATGGGCTAAAGTAAAGATTTAAAGATACATTCGATTGAATGGGAGGGAGTCCTATTTTGTATAACTTTGCATGAGGCAAAAAGTCAAGAGAGAGCCTCTTAAAATATTAAATAATTTATTTATTTTTATATATTAAATAATTTAGAATACTTGATTAAAATAAAAAATAGAATATTTGTATTAAATCCTCATGTTTCCAAAGTTATTTAATTACTTAATATACACCCTTTTCTATCCTGTAATTCGTTACAAAGATATATCGTTATTTAGACATCATCAAAAAGTCGCCTAATATGCTGCTTGCCTTTCCAAAAAAAAAAGAAGATATATAAGTTCCTCATTTGTGTAGCATTTAACATTTTTGATGGGTTTTTCAAACAATCCAACAAAAAAACGAGAAGGAACGTGCGAGTCGCTTCTGGGGACGCGACTCTACTTATACCCGTACTCAGTCAGCATAAACATTTTTAAGCATATGATTTTTTAGAATTTTAGAATTAAAAAAAAAATTTTACATTTAACATTTTTTTGCTACATCTGATATCTACATCTACAATGTATATTCTACATCTAACATGTAGATTGTACATGTTCCAATTAGATTCTACATCTCCTCCGCTAGGGGTTGCTCGCGCACTGAACGCGGCGGAGTGTGCGAGCGAGAAGGAAAATGACTTGCTTGCATGCGTCAGGAGGGGGAAGGGGAAGCAACTGAAAATTAATTTTTTCATTCTGGCTATAATTATGATCCGATCTGATTCAGATTCGGCAGTCTGGTAGATATGGGCATTCTCTACGACACTGCGTTTTTAGTTTTATCGTATCTTTAAAAATGTGCCTGCCACAGATTTTCGTCCTTTGTGGAGGCGGAAGGGGGCGGGGCGAAATTTTGAAATACACTTGTAACAGTGGGATATCACATGAGTCTGGAAACCAAATTTGGTTGCCCTAGCTCTTATAGTCTCTGAGATCTAGGCGCTCATCGAGACAGACAGACAGACAGACAGACAGACAGACAGACAGACAGACAGACAGACGGACAGACAGACATGGCTCTATCGACTCGGCTATTGATGCTGATCAAGAATATATATACTTTATGGGGTCGGAAACGTTTCCTTCTCTGCGTTACACACATCCACTTTTACCACAAATCTAATATACCCCTTAACTCTTTTTTGAGTACGGGTATAAAAACAAAGCCAAAACCCCATTTTTATGAGCCATGTCCAAAAGGTTTTTCAATCGTTAATTTTTTTTTTCGGGGGGGAATTCTCCAAAAACAAAATGCCAGAAAAACGTTTACATGCCACATAAAAATTCCTTCAATTTTTTATTTTTATTTTTTAAGTATGCAAATTAAGAAATTAACGTTATTTCGCATAGACATAAAAATAAATAAAAAACGAACAAAGGAAAAACAACACGCTGAACGAAATTCTACAGCTAAGAGACAAAAAGACATTGCTTGGTTTGATGGGGGCCCTCGATTAATAACTCTAATTTGCTATCAATATCGATCAACGATAGTAAATTTTATCGCTCGATTGTAAAAAATCAACAGCCTGCTGTGTTATTGGATCAATTATTCAGACAGACAGACAAACGCCAAGAGACTGTAAACAGTGGAGCAGTAGAACTAACAGAGGGGTTCAGAGCAGAGCAGAGCAAGGCGGAAGGGGGGCATTGGGGCGGTAGGGTATCGCCTCATCGGGTCTCTAATGAACACATTACATAAAATGTTGAGTTTTATGCCCCACTTTGAGACTTGAAGCAGAGCATTTTTTTACTCCTCTTTCTACTTTTACGGGGACGCGCCAATTAGATGAGGAAGGGCCTGCAACGACTCAGAATCGGAATGGG